GATGTTAACTGAAAGTTACGCACAAATTAGTAAGTTCTCGCGTGGAAGTTCCCTAACTAAACTTTTCTTGTAAATAAATATAAATTGCTATTCTTTATCCAGTTGTTGAACCTGTATCCCAAAAAATTTGCTGGTAACACGCTAATTGGGCAAACAAATAAATATTTTGTGACCGCAGGCAATACTCACGCGAAAAAAAATAAGTATCAAAAGGAGATGATCAATATTAAAAAAAATTTTTTGAATCTTATAATAAATAGCAATTCATAAAATGCATTCGAGGTAAGTTTACAAAGAAAGAGTCCAGCTCGATCAGTTTAATTTATTCTTTCAGGAGTTCTAGATGATTTCTTCCACGATGGGTTCCCCACAAATTCCATTTGTCTCATATAAAAAAAGAAGAAAGATTGATATTGTGGGATTGTAACTTTCTTACTCTAACCACTGTAATTTTAATAATATAATCTTTCTTTATTTAACATATACAATTGACCATATTGCAAACACCTTTACTCTTATTACGCATATATCTTCAAGTTTCACATTAATTTAATTAAGGAATATTACTTACATGTGCTATAAAGACGCCAAACATAACAACATACCCCCAACCACCTTCCGGTTTTACAGAAATTTTCTTTAAACATGTTTCTGCCATTTCGATAATAATATTCTACTTAGCTTAATAATTTGTTGTGCTTCTGCTTTAACTATTTAAGTTCTTTTAGTTAAACAATTTGAAATCCCTAAGCAAATAAATTTATCAGTGCCAATTTGAAATGTTTATTGTTACATTAAATATTGAAGTAGGCACCCAAATAGCACCAACTTCTGTATCTTACATTTGGAAATACTAAATTATTTATATGAAAAATAATAAGTAATTTTCTTAATAATTATCTTATCACAATGTTCGGTTACATAATGAATGGTTTTGATGTTGTAATTAAAACTGTTTAATTTACCCTATGAAAACACTGTTCATCAAAATTATCTAGCCAAACTAGAGATGTGAAATTTGGAGGCATGGAAGCGCAAGCAGGTGGTTCAAAATGATCCTAAAATTCCTCTGGAACTTGGAGTCATGGAGTCTTATTTAATCCAGAATTACCCGTTACCACAACGTATTCATGAGCAGTGAAGAGATAGAAAAGATACAGTCACAGTTCCTAACACCAAGAGATGCTTTAAAAAATCGGTCTCTTTCGATATTCCAAAGAGGTTGAATTTTCCCCAAAAATTTGCGGTTATGAACATAGTGGTTTGGCCCCTTGGAATTGAGTGGGAATGATTCTATATGATGGAAACCAAGACAAGATTTTGACAAATTTTTCAGCAATTTTGACGAACAGTGTATAACAAGTAAGTGTGCATGTGGGTGCATAAGTGATTTTTATCTACTAATTAAATGATAATGTCTTCTTAGGTTGCACATTTAATTTAATTAAAGAATATTACTTACATGCACTATAAAAACGGCTAGCATGGCAAAATACCCCCAACCGCCTTCCTGTTTTATTGAATTTTTATTTTTGCAAGATTCAGACATTTTAAAAATAATAGCGTACTAACGTTATTGTGACAAAATTACCTACAAGTAGTACAAATTTATGCAAAAATTGAAGCCAAAAATTTGCACCTTCTTCCGTATTTTAGATTTGAAAAATATTTACATAAAAAAATAATATGTTATTTTCTTAATAATTAACTTATCATACTCCCGGCGACCTTAACGAATATTATTAAAAAAACTACGCCACTTTCTTTTTTGTAACGTAATATTTTTGGTTTTATTAAGCATCTAAAAATATAACTTTTTACCTCTTGTATTTTTTTCGGATCTCGCTTCGTTTTTGGAGAAAAAATATCACTGGAAAAAATTGGTTTATCAAATTTTTGCAAAAAAATTACGACTGTACTTAATAATTTTATTCTATTTAGGGCTAAATTAACATCTTAATGCAACAAAATAACATTGCTAAATTTCAACAGAATGAAGTAAAATAATATTATTTAAGACAATCTTTTTTTTTATTTAACATCCTGTATATTTAAAAGTCTGCATTTTCGGACCCGTGTTTTTAGAAACTTTTTTTCATATTTTTTAACAAGGACCCTCTAAAATATCTCCGGCCGTTTTATGAACACCCTGTATAATGAATAGATGCCTAGTGTTATGCAACTATTCTTACACACTCTGTCAAAGGTGGTGCATAAGTTACGAACACCACAAGAAAAATGTGTTTTATATATACACTGTTGCCTAATTTCTGAATTAATTATTACTTGTAGTTAATAAGAAATTTGAAATATCTAGATATACCATTTATACCATTTACCTTTGTATACTTGCGTATTAATTTTTTGATTAAATTAGATGTAGATTACTTAACTTACGATTCGTTTACGAAAAATACATTTGGCAACATCGCTACAAACCGACACGCTACGATAATAGCCGATCGGATGTTTCGTAAGTACAAAATCTGAAAAATGACAAATAGCTGTCAGACGTCAGATGCGGTTAGGAAGAAACGAATCGTTTCGCCAATTCCGATGTAATTGAATGGTTTTTTCAATCGCATTTTCAAAGTGACATAGCTGCATTAATAGTGGTTGTTACGAGCGGTGCCAGTTTAACTATGTCGACAATTTTGCTAGCTGCTGTTGCCGTTATTATTTGCATTCTCTTCCGGATTTTAAACGTGAATAGCGAACCTAAGAAGCCCTCGGTTTTGTGCTCGGATACTAAGTTTCTAAGCAATATCCTCAAAATTGCACCGGTCCTTCATGAACAGTAAGTCCTAATTTACCTATTCATTAAATAAACGAGTCTAGTTGTATTTATGTTCGTTGCTAAAAGGGAGGTTATCACTCCAGTGTCTAGCAAAACGGTATTGATTTGTAGTTTTTTCTAGAAATCACAAATTGTAGATATTTGTAGTTGCTCAAATGTTTTGATTCAATATCAGGCAAAGAGCTAGAAATGCTCTTGTAAATATTATAAATGCTTGTAGGAAGGTTTGGAATTTCAAATAGACTATTTGTCGGGATGTTTTAAATCTTCCTAAAATTCCAAAATAAAAATTGATGATTAGGTGCATGTTATCTAGAAAGATAACATTATCCTGGAATTCCTGTCTAAACTTATCTTTTTGAATCTCACCTTTTCATCTAAATGTAAATACTTTAAATGTAAATACTTTGAATGTTTGTAGTGATTGTTGTTCTATTTATTTCTATTTATGTTTTGTTCTATTTATTGTTAAAGCCGCTGTATTCTAAAAATAAAAAGGAAAACAGTGGAAACCTATTCCTTTATTAATCGACATAAAGGAAAATAAAAGCATTTTATAATAACACTTCTGTTATGTTACTAATAATGAAAATAACTTTTTGTGAACAATATTTCAGATATTTTCCTACAGTATGATAATTAATGAGTAATGCATTACCATCTCTATGATACATAATAATTGTTGAATTAATTAACACACCTGAATTTATTTTGTGTTTTAAATTCGTCTCACATAATTATTATTTATCTATTTATTATGAATATGTACCTATATGCATTTATACATTAATTTCTGTTATATTCTTACAGGAATTTGGGATAGAACAGGCTAATAAATGTATTATGTTATGGCTAAAGACAAAATTATTCTGGGTAAACCTAGGTTTATGGTAAAAGGGCTAGGATTTGCTACATTAACTGCAATTCCTTATTAATTTTCACATTAAAAGGCCAGCTTACCCTTCTGGCTTGAGCCATACACTGCTTATACATGCCTAAATATACAGGATTTCGCAAAAATAGGATGATTTAACCTGCTAACTTCCCTATTTCCAAAAGTACTAACGAATTAGTAAAGAAGTTACATGATGTTAAAGTTAAAAATAAAATCTCTTTTTCATAAAAATGTAACCTCTAAGTAACTTCTTTAGTACTAAACACTTTTGGTTATTAAGTTAGGTTAAAATATCTATATATTTCTCCGATTTAATTATGAACGAAGGAAGTATGCTGTTCATTTGATACTTCTAAAATTTTCGGAAACCTCATTGTCTAATCGGGAGGAATGACATCATTTTATGAATAAAATCCTCGGTAAAATCCTTGATTAGCATTTTTAACAGTTTGCATTATATTATATACCATATGTTCTGACCGTAAAGGAATATCAATCGAATCAATTTCGTTTTTTATACGCTGCTATGCACCTTAATTTGATTCTCATTTTTTATGAAATATTTTAATTATTTATTAACAATTCTAAGAGAAGCTCCTACACACCTTTCAAATGCCTTGTAATTCATTTTTTAATTTAAAACAGAATTGTTTTAATTTCACACTTGTAACTCAAACTATTAAATTTATAATCGCAAAAATTATAATCGTTTATTGTACTGTAGTGCGTGCATAATTAACTATGGTTCATGCACTGGAAAATGTACAATATAAAAATGATTTGCCGTGAAATATATGTAACAGCATGTTTTTTAATAGCTCCTTGGCTCTGTATTTACTGCTGAAGTACCTACAACAAATCATGATTTACCTACGTAGATAATGACATCATTTTATTCAGTTTTCCTTCCTTAATGATCGTTAGTTTCGCTAAAAATATGGAGAAAAGGATTTTAATAAAGTATTATTAGTATTTGGAAAGTTGATGTCTTATACAAGAGTTAAAAAACGTTAATTTTCATGGAAGTGTCTATTCAAGAAATGCTTGTTTAGTGGGTAATAATGTGCATTCAATTAGTATTCCCATTTAGTTACGGTTTTTGCATTACTTTCCCTCTTTTGTAGAAATAAAACTAAAATCAACATTATAAAAATTTTGCTTTTATTATCAAAGAATCGATAAAATACGAGCACTTATCGATTGAAATATATTGCAAGCTATAAATTTGTAATGAGTTTTTATAACAATGTAGCATTCGTAAGCAATTAAAAATGTTCTACATAAAAAAGGAATTTCGAATAAAACGAACAACTGCGTTTAAAAGGCAATTAATGTAGCACCTTTTATTTTCTATATTTTTTTTAAATTTTTGATTGTAAAAAAAGTACATGAGGTTATAGATACTATCAAATTTTATGCTATATGAAATTTTCATTTTACTAATTTTACTTTCTAATTGATAAAACAACTAACTTATGGATTTTTCATACAAAAAAACAATATTTATAAGAAAGTGGTATACGCAATTTGCACATACATTTTTATGTACATATCTCATAATAAATTTGGTAAATTTTAAACCCACTGCAATACTCAAAACTGTTTTTATAGAACATTTCAATAATATTTGAAGCGCTTTGAGAGAAATTTCTCATTGTGGCAAAAAATTGAAAAATGTTCTAATACAACAACTGTAACAATCACCCAAGACATTTCTACTGCTAAAAAAAACCGCTATTTCAATACTTGGAATACTTTGTTTTTGATGCATTTATCGATCGCCCGCAGCAAATCGAAAAGTTCTTCTACACACGTTTCCGCCGTGCATCCTTTCGTATTGACTCTATCATTGCACGTTTGATAAATCTCCTCCAGCCGCTTAATGTGAGCCTTTTTCTTGCATTCGTCCTTTAGAAGGTCCAGTGGATCCGGGATCGCCTCTTTTTCCGGCTCCTCCGGGTTGCCATTATTTTCGTCGCACGTTGAATTGTCTGAGCTCAGAAATTTGAACATTGTTATTTTTACTAACGTTCGTTTTAACTGACACTGTCAGGAATTATGTGATTTGATATTTCATTATACAGAATGTCCGTTAAAAAGATGGGTAAAAAGTAGTTAAGAGAAATTTTTGGTACCTAATACAGATTCGTGTCTCAGAAATTAGCTTACTCTATAATGCATTTCCCAACAACCTACATTCTTGAATACTCGAAATTCTTTCTAATATAAATATTGAATAGCTTGAAATGGATTGATTTAAATCATTCGTTATGTTTTCATTGATTTCAATTGGCAAAATCATTAATTAAATTTGGTTTTTATAAGTGATAAGTAATGCCAGTTTATTCTACTAATGTTCTTCTATGAAAGACAATTTTCAATTGCAGATTATGTCTTGAAGCAAAGATCAAATCAATTTTGTTAAACCTATTTCAAGGTTAATGCGGCTAATAAAAAAATTCATACTTCATAGTTTTATCATGAAACCGTTAATTTCCATTCTACTCGTATAAGTATAGTCTATTGTCATAATTATTCAATTGGTATACCTTGCTTAATTAGGCTTAACAATTGAATTGAATTAAAAGTGTTTTTATAGGTGTTGGTAAACCGTGTTTTAATTTGGATTTGGTTATTAATTTGTTTAAATTAGTGTATGCAGTCAATTAGCATTTGATCGATGAAAGGAAACCGGACATACTTTGACATTGGAACCTTGATCTTGAGCTATCCAATTAGAATAATTGAAGTATTTGTTATAGAATCTAGATAGTAGAATAAATATTTTTCTTGTTATGCAAACATTACCTATGTATATTTATGTAGTTATAACTATAACAAAGAAATATGTATAATTGATGTTTAATCATAATTATAAATGCTGATAATCGAATTTAATTCGTACGATTAATATTGGCGACATACAAAATATAGATTACCTGGCAAATTTTTCCATCCCGTATAAAAAATACATGCGAATACAGCATGTTCACTTCATGATACATAAACGTAGGAAGTAGACAATAATTATTTAATTCCGACTATTGCTATTAGATAATGTTGCTAAATATAAAACCAACTCTGAATTGTTCAAGCGTTGACTACGGTGATTCTTTTTAAATCATTCTTTATTATTCAGCCGTTGCTTGGTAAAATAAAAAGTGTCTCATAACACACTATGTACCTATTATTCGACATTGACATTGACATTTGTGTAAGATTATAACATTGATCTAGACTTATTTGTTTTATCATTCTATCTATAAATTGCAGTATTAAATTATACTTTATCTGTTATCAATATATGATTAAACATCGTATGTCGATATACGTATTATGTTCCACTTATTTAATCCAGATTATCATCCATTTTGTTGCTACTCAGCAATCTTCTATCATGTACTACCTAGATACCGAAAAGTACCGAAAAACATTTTTAAGGGTCGAGTTTTGAATCTTGTCATGCAACTTTTCCCATTCTTGAGGAACATTAAATTGAGGAGTAACTAAAAAGTCAATTTAAATCATTTGGAATAAACTTTGCTACCACAATTGATGTGTGGCTAATAAGAAAATGTAATGTAAAATGTAATTCAACTAATGAATTATCGACGATTTTAAGTAACATTGCTAGTGTACATGACTTTATTTTTTAGCGTTTTTCATGAAAACGACAAAGAATTTTAAAAAAACAAAAAGAATAAAAAAGTTTTAAAATGAAATTGCCTATGAAATGAACTAATAATTTTTTAAATTTAATCCGCGTGCGAGTAACTGGGCCTTAGTACACTCATAATGTATACCAAATTTAGTTCTTTTAGGCCCACCGCTCACGGAGCAACTGTTTTGAAATAAAGATTTCAATCTAGTTTAGTCTGTAACCAGTTTACAACTAATATTAAACTTCTGCACGCACACGGATGCGACTATTATAAAATAGTTTCAATCAGTTGGCATAGTAATTTATCGAATTTCGAATGAATCACACCAGAAATTGGTAAGAATTTAAAGCAACTTGAAACTGCAAAGCGACTGCGACCGCGGGAAATGGTCGGGTACAACGGGTTTATGACTCATTGCAAACTAGTTTCATTTGAATCGACTTGTGTGCGGTTCCACACTACTGTACATTGCCGAGGTTGCAAAATAGTTGCAAGATCAACTGGTTTACAATTTTTATTTCAAAACCGTTGCTCCATGAGCGGTCGGTCTTAAGTTTGAGTATTACTGAGATATTATTTTATTTTAATTTGTAACACCACTTCAACAACATACACATACTCAAAAATGTTTTTGCATATTAGTAGAAATGCCACTGACCATTTATTATTTGAAATTTCTTCTGTTAAAAAATTGTTTTTATTGCTAATAATATAATTGCTAATTTTAAATGATTTTTATGCCTTTTGTTAAATGATAAAGAAACTAATTTTGTAATATTTGTAAAGTAATTTTACAAATATTTCGTTATATTAAATATTAAAATGTATTCTTTTATGCAAAATATTTTCGTGTGTGTGTATTTTGGACTCCCCTACATGCCCCTGATTTGTGTCTATTATTATGTGGGACAACCATGCAGTATTATCAAATCATGTATTAAACTGTCTAATTTAAAAATATCGGAACCAATTTTCGAAAGTATTACAATAAAAATAAAATCGAAAAAAAATAATTATAATTACGGCTATTTTTTTGCAAATTGTTTAAAAGTTGTAAAGTACTTAACTGCATTAAAAATTAAATTATTAAACAAAATTGCTGATGTTTACATGAGTCATTTGTATTATATATATTTTTTGAATATCGTGACGGTATACTTGTACTGTTATCAGTTAATAATGTTAGCTGATAAGCATTTTTTCCGCAGATTCAGTCAGTGTATTATCGTTGTTATCGTTAACGTATTTCTAGAAATATTTTCTGGAATAGATTAAGCAAATATGGACTTATACTTCATCTATCCAACCAATGGAGTAACCAAAACAAGGTTAGACGCTGGATCAACGCGTGATCACCAGTGATTGGCCAGCGTAAGGAGGCTTTTTTTGTTTTCCCCAATAGATGCAAATGTGCATGGTGATCAGGCGTCTACCCTTGTTTTGGTTACTCCGTTGGTTGGATGGATGAAGTATAGTTAATTTTTATACAGTATTGGAAATAAATTCACGCATAATAGGCAAATCAATATAACCGAACCAAAGCGTGGAGTGCCGTTCAGTGGTACAATTAAATTTATTAGAATTTATCGCGACGTTGACGCGACGTTGATTTTCCCTATTACATATGCGCGAATTTATTTCCAAAAATGTATACATATCTTCGTTTTATTCGTTATTTAAGTAGTGCATTGTACGCAACACATAAAACACAATTTTATGCAAGAATCGTGATTTTTGAATATATGTAGATAATGAATTTTTGTTGTTTTTTTTTTCAATATCCGACACTTGAGCTCGTTTCGAAATTCACGAATCAAATATAGCAGAATAACAATTTAACAAATACGATACGGCATTTTTTTAAAGAAATGTGGCTTCATTAAATTTATTAAAGTAATGGAATATTCTAATTATTGAGATAAAGGATTTTTCTGCTTAATTTATGTTTTTAATTTTATAATGATTTTAATTACATCCTATTCTGACAAAAAAATTTAAAATGAATCAAAACAATATTTTCGTTAACATTATTCAAGCGTTTTATGTGTCTAAAATATGCTCGCGAAATTGCAGCTTTTAGAATTATTTAATGTTTGCCATCCAATTAGAAACCTAAATGTTTAACTTACGTCATATAAAATATAAAAATAATAAATATTCGCGTGCGCATAATATATCAAATAATTGCCAAGAAAATTTAAATTCGTGAAAATATTGATTATATATTATAAAGGTATATTGGAAACTTTGTTTTTTTTTTCAGGTATGTCCCAACAAGGCTGTGGGGTTTCAGCGGTCACGTTCAAACAATACTACACAGTATTATCGGCAGAGTAAAATGCCCTTGGCCCACCGGCGAAAGAGTTTTTATCACAGTAAACGATGGCACAACCGTCACTTTTGACATTTATCAACCAATTGATACCAGTTTTCAAGGTAATTGTTTATACTATGCACATCAGTGGCACTAAGAACTAGTACACTTGTTAAGTCTCCGATATGTCTCATCTGATGATGTTTAACTATCGAGCAATTTCATAACCACTTGTAAATTTTCTATATAAAATGAACTTGCTATGATATTTTAATAGAAATGTTTTTAACAGTTATTCGAATGTTTTTACGTTAGATGAAACATAATATATAAAATAAAAACCACGATTTTGTAAATTATTTCAACAAAGATTTAGGACAAGCATGCTCGTTGCAATTTAACGGAACAAAAGCATCCTCGTCCTTAATGCGATCTGAAAACGGATAAACGGAAATGAAACATTAATCAAATGTGATCGAATCCCCAACTAGGTGCACTTATTACCAGCGGAATCGTTATTCTAATTCAATGTACTGTCGCGATATTAACATTAGACGAAGAAAATTTACAATTTTACCTTTCTCTCCCGGCCCGCGATGATGCGCTTTTACAATAATTACGCAAATTATCCGTCTGCTTTCGGAAATGTTATAATAGAAGCTTGCGGACATGCTTTCATTCCGACTATTATATTATGTTTGATTGGAAAATATTTCATATCTCGATGATGTTATAAAATATTATATTTGGTGATTTCTTTGAGAATCTTCCTTCTCCGCCTCTTGATTGTAATTTAATGCTTACATTCGAATTCAGTTCGAATTAGATTCCAAGTGGGTGCTTAATTATATAAGATATTTTTAATATTGTTTTGCCCAATAAGTATCTATCTGTATGATTCCCAGGTCGCTAACCTGTGGCACAATTGAATAGGCTTCTATTAATGAAATCACTTTCTCCTATTTCGTTGATATTTGAACTTCATTTCATATAGTCCAATTTGCCGCGATTAGTTAAAAGCAAAACGAGTATCACAAACTTTATAGAAAATTTTATATTTTTTTTAGATGATGTTAGTATAGCAATATGCCCAGGTATTTGCAATACATCGGAAAGTATTTACGTACGCACATTTGTCCATTGGGCACAATATCATGGTTACAGGTGTGTCGTATTAAATCACGTTGGAGTTTTGAAGAATGTTCCAGTAACTGGTCCAAGAATTTTTAACTATGGTAAGAAAAAAATTGTATTTTAGTAATTACCTAATTTTTGTTTTCTATTCTGAGTATCTTTAATTTTAATTATCATGGTAAATTATTGCTAAAAAAATTTGTTTCAATAATTTTGTTGCAACACTGATAATTGGGAATATTGGAAAAAAGGTTTTACGAATTAGATAACATGATTATTGCTTAAGTTTTATCAGTTTTATATTTATACAAAATGTGTATGTCAAATAAAAGTAGTTTTTCTACTCCCAAAACTAGTAATTTTCCGAAATCAATGTCAATAGTGAACCTATTTTAAGAAAACATGACCTACTTGAATATTTAATCGCTAGTTTGAAAATGTTTAGACTGGATATTAATATTTGTTCAACGAAAATTGTTTAAACATAAAATGTGTAATTTCTCGACAAAATTATAGTTTTCAAAGCTATAATTTTAATATTTAATACATTTGCGTTCACTTTAATTTTTCAATTTCACATTAGTGTCGGACTTTATAATAAATATCGATACGCTATGCTGTTACTACAATATTTTTTAATTGAATGGGTGATTGGAAAAAGGATAAAATTCCAGTGAAACTTATTTTTGGAAAATCAAAAAAACTTTTTGGCACCGAAATCGGTAATTTAAGAAAAATCATTACTATTGGCCAATTATGTACTTATGACAAAGTACGTTTGATGCCAAAATTTGAACGGTGATTGTTTTTTCAACATTTTTGAAGTATTGGGGCCACCGGTTTTTGAAATCAAGTATACTGGTAAAAATTTGCCTTTTTCTTGAAACTTTGGTTTTAGTTTCTTGGGAAAAATTTCTGTCACAGTGCATGAAACTATGACCTCAGATAGAAAAATATTGATGAATTATTTCTCAAATATGCTATTCATGGTCAGCGCAGTAAACAACCTGGTTAAAATTCCAGGATTATTATCCTTTTTCCATCCACCAATAAAATTATGATGTATGAAGGATGCCGGTAATTTTTTATTTTTGCGCTCAGCGGGAAGATAAATTAAAACAAAATGGCTATCTCACTTTGATTCACCGTATTTTTGGAATTTTTTCCCATTCAATTATGTTCTTTATTTAGGTAACTGCGATGATTTTCAAGCGATGATAAGAAATTTAGTCGTCCGTTATCCCGAGACCAAAGTGATTTGCGTCGGTTTCAGTTTAGGCGGAAACTTAATCACCAAATATTTGGGAGAGAACAAGCCGAAACCTCCGAACGTGATTGGCGGCATTTCCATATGTCAAGGATATTGTGCTTTAGAGTAAGTGAAATGTTTTAATAATTAATTAATTAAGGTTTTACAATATACAAGGTTTAACTGACATTGGTAAATGCCAAAATATAACGTTAACAGATTGATAAGAACTTATCTCTTTGTTAGCGATTTAACAGACATTGGTGAATATGGCCGTAAGTCGGTTCTTATGCGGGACACCCTGTATAACTTAGGTTTTAAACTATAAAAAGATACATAGTGTATGATAGCGAGAACAATTTTATTATAGACAACAAGATTTTTTTTTGATTCAAGTTTTGTGAAAAATTGTCTGATAAAATCAATCAGATTTTAAATTAGTATTAAGAAATTTCACTCGTCTCGTATATAAAAAGAGTTGCCAAACTAACTCGTAAATATTAGCGGTTAATTTTTACCGTTAAATTACCGAGTAGATGGAATAATAAATTCAAATCAAAAAAAAATTAATTTTAAAAAATAATTACTTTTTTATCCATGTTAACTACAACATACTTGTTCCGTGTGTTAACATTTTCTTCAACGAACCGAAGAAAGTTTTAATAATTTACATCATTATACAACAATCATTTGTTGTAAGTTTCGAGGACCATATTATACAATGAAAGTTGATTAAACTCGAATATAAATAACCGAAAAAATTCATTGTTTAGGCTTTCGGAAGGTACACTCCTTTTTGTATCAGTTAATTATTCTATTTAATGGGAACCTCTATTTCGATTTTTAATTACCTTGTACATAATTGCTTATCTTGATTGCGACATTGCTGGTCATGATTATATTGTTTGATGGAAAATTAGGAAGTATAAGAAATATTAAACAAAAATTTACGAGCAAATAATTTATTTTACTCACCATTATATTTAAATTTAGAACTGTCTAGAAACATTTAGAACGCTTCAGAACAATTTAGAACTCTCCCGAATCATTTAGTACTGTCTAGAACCACTCAGAACGCTCCAGAACCATTTAAACCGTTAAATCCAAATTGTATTGTAACCAGTCGTTTGAGAAAAACGGTCAAATTAGAGAATTCTTTGACTCGTTTTATTTCTGATAATGACCTCTTATAAATATTTATTATAACACATTTAGTCTCGTCATTTGTTTTTTTCTATTCATGTTTGTTAATATAATCTAGTATATGGAGTTCATAGGTAATTGTTTCACCTTGTTGAAACTAATAAATAGGAATTTTTTTTTAATCCGCCAAATTGTTTTCGTTTTTAGCTTTGTTTTTAACATGTCTATGCATACATAAAAACGTAATTAATTTAATTGCAATACAATTGTTAAAAAAATTTATTTCGCTTTAATCACATGCTATACAGGGTGTTCCTAAAAAACATCGGGTACAAAAACAGACGCTTCGTTACCGGTCTACAGTGTGTTGAAATTTTAGAATTTTTCTTTGTTTTTTCCTTGTAATTCCTGCAGTTTTTGACATATTTTGCTCAAATTTGGTATAGAGCGCTCCAGATCATCTAGAACTGTCTAAAACAATTTAGAACGGTCCAGACTCATTTAGAACGCGCCAGAATCATATAAAACTGTCTAGAACAACTTAGAATGCTCCAGAACCATTTGGAACTCATCAGACTCCTTTGGAACCGTCAAGAATCGTTTAAAACTGTCTAGAACTATTTAGAACGCTCCAGAATCATTTAGAATTCTCCAGACTCATTTAAAACTGTCAAAAACCATTTAGGACGCTCCAGAATCATTTAAAACTGCAGCGTTGTCATATTTAAAATTCGGAAATATATAATTCGTTGGTTATAAAAAAAACTTGGAACGCCCTTTATTTCATGTGTTATGCTTCCACGAGTTTGTTATCACACTTTCTACTTTATTGCTACTGTAGTTATAAAAATACTGTTTGATAATGGTAAGAAATATTCAAATAAAATTTGTTGGTTCCAGAGGAACGAAGCACATGCTCAGCTGGCAGAACTTCAGGCGTTTCTACCTCTACGTGATGACGGAAAACCTGAAAAACACCATACTGAGACACAGCAAAATGCTGCTCTCCGAAGAACTGAAGAGGCGCCACAATTTGAACGAGCACGAAATCATTTCGGCGGCGACGCTGCCCGAATTGGACGAAGCTTACGGTAGAAAGGTGAACGAATTCAATTCCATCACGGAGTATTACAAATGGAGCTCCAGCAAGCACTATTTGAACGACATTCAGGTGCCGATGATTTTCATCAATTCCATGGACGATCCGATCGTGCCGGAGCCTTTGCTAGAACCTGTAAAGAAAGTTGCATGTAAGTGCTAAATCATTTTTTTTAAGTTCTCTAGAAGACTGTCTAATTTAAACTATTTACGTTATAATCAACATTATCATACAGTTTTGTGCAAGATACTTAGGATAATGGGAGTGATGTATTTTTTGGGTTAATGAACAAAAATTTATTGTAAAAAAATCTAGCGCGTCACATAATCGAGCTATACTCGATAAAAAATTATTTGTTTTACTGGAATTTAATATCTATGCAATGAATGAACAGAAACTACAAATTAGAAATGCTAAGCATTAAATTTTGGTTTATTTGTATGATTTTTTGGTCGTTTTCGCGTATTAATGTTCAACATTAGTTTCATAGCACACCATTTAGAACTGTCTAGAACCATTTAAAACGCCCCCGGACCAATTAGAACTGTCTAGAACCACTTAGAACGCTCCAGAGACATTTAGAACTGTCTCGAACCATTTATAACGCTCCAGAAACATTTAGAACTGTCGAGAACCATTTAGAACGCTTCAGAACCATTTAGAAGGCTCCCGAACCATTTAAAACTGTCTAGAACCATTTATAACGTTCCAAAATCATTTAAAACTGTCTAGAATCATTTAGAATGCTCCAGAACCATTTAAAACGGACATGTTGGACAAATTAAAGAACCCAGAGCTTGCTAATTTTTTTTGACTGCATATTTGGAATTTACAAACTTGTATTATCGTTAAATTGAATTTCACTAATTTCGAATACTTTTTTTTTAGCGGAAAAAACCAACACTGCGTACATAGAGGTATCACACGGCGGTCATTTGGGTTTCTACGAAGGCGGTCTGATCTATCCCAATCCGGTGACGTGGCTCGATAGAACGCTGGTGGCTCTGGTCGGTTGCCTGACGCTCACTTCCGACGAGATGGGTCTGAAAACTCGCCAAACTTTAGAAATATGAGCCCGACCATTTCGTGGCTTTTGCTGTGCGCTACTCGTTCGCTCGTTGATATCCTATTAGGCGGGGCGAACGTTGGAAGCTATAAAATATAAATTATGTGTCGTTATTAAGAGCATTCTGGTGGTTCGATGTTGGTTGGTTCGAAAAACGCGATCTGTTGAAATGCCCTTTTGCGAGGGATTTTAATGATTTTTTTCCTTAATCTTTTTCACCACGTTTTCATTGAATTTTCAAAATTTATCTGTTAAAGAGGGAACTCTTACCGACTGCAAGCAGTATTAGAAATTTCAAGTAAATTGGTTAAAATTTATACGGGTTTTATTTAGAATAATTTGTATGTCTTACATCCGTCCGATAATAGTATTTCTTATGATAACGCATGTTTTTCCATATTTTACTTTTTATCCATCGGTTAAATTTTACAATAGACACACGATCATTCCTACCACAAAAAAATCATCTTCCAGAGCCTTTTGATACCCTGTACCGTCTTCCATAAATATTTAAATTAATCCAAGTAATCAAATAATCTGATTAAAATTACAGCTCTCTTCTTTGATACATTTGCTTACACAAGTGCATAATAGTTTGCAATATGGTCAATTCTTTGAGTTGAACAAAGAATGATTATTAAAATAACAGTCAGAGTGAGAAAGTGGCAATGACACAAAATCGCCCTTTCTTTTTCCTTTATATAAGTGTCTTTATTGCACCTATAGCCTAAATTGCAAACTAAGATGCATCACCTTATATATTCTTATTAGATTTAGTAATTATTGCAAAATTAAGGCTTTGTAACCAATGAGCATTTTGACTGATCGCGATTTTTTTCAAACATTGAATTACCAATTAGATAAATATGTAGAAGATGTAATGTGTGTGAAATAATCAAAATTGTCGTTATATGATTTTGAGATGCTTCTGTGTAATATTTTATTTTGTTAACCGCATATTCGGTTGGGTCCTTATTATATGTGTATTTTTGTGAATTGTGTAGTGGATGCAGAAATGAGTAAATTATTGTAAATTTGTATATAAATGACTGTTTTGGATCCGAATTTTTGTAATGCATTATTTGTATGCTGTTTTACATGACCAGTTTAAGCTTAATTTAATACACACTGCCATATTTTCGGATTTCATTATCGAAATAGAATATAGTCAGGCAACGCCAATTTGCTCCGAGAAAAAAACATTATGTCCTTTTCCAATAGCGGTAGCTAGATAAAGACCCAACTAGAAACTCACCTGTACTTATTGTGATACCTTTTATTTCTAGATTTAGAATGGAGTTATTTATTAAACATAAATTTAATGAAAGTTGAAAGTTACTTATTTTTGTAAATTTTGTACATTTGACTTTTTGTCTCGTTTAGTGATTATTGCATTTAAAAATTTATTAGAGTATGTAACATTGAAAATTCTGAGAAATTTTGATATATTTTGAAAATTGTTTATGTGAAATAAATATTTCAAGTTTACTCGTTTTTTTTTTGTTCCTTCGAATTGAATTATGTTAAATTTTAACAACAAATATAAAAATTTGCTTGCTTTTAAAATAAATACACTAGTTCATTTCAGTTTGCAATATGGTCATTTCTATGAATTTAACAAAGATTACTAAAATGACAGTTCTCAAAGTGAAAAGTTGCAATGACAATAAACCGTATTTATAAAGAGAAGCACAACCTTTTACTTCAAAAAATGAAGGAACTCCTTTAAGTTAAATGCGTAAAAAGAAGAGAGTGCAATGAAGAGAGGTTTTGCTTCGAGGCTTCTCGAACTCTAATGGAAGTTGTCTTTATCGCACACATAGCCTATATAAGACAAACTAAAATGAATCAATCTGTATATGGATAAATACAAACTTGTTTAATGGATATTGTCTTTGTTGCACCCATAAACCATATTGCATACAAATTTGCACTTATGTGTATACAAGTATGGGTTCCGTTAAATCTTTAAAGGCAAAATGGTCGATTACATAAACGAAAGCACAAACTCACCTCACAACTCAATTATTAATTTGAGTAATTTGTAATTTACTGTTTTCGAAAATAACTTTTGGAAATTTTCAATTTTAAACTTTGGCCTCAGTTGTAGTAGTAATTCGTCTAATCTACCCACAATAAAAAGCGAGATAGCCAATAAAACACAAGTAGTAAAAGAAAGATAACGAGTGATCCGGAGCAAAACCAACGAACAGAAACGTCATTTGTCAATAATATCAACCGTCACCGTCAAAAAAATAAGCGCCATTGATAATTGTTTGTGATTCGCCACTACTGTTTACTTTTGTAATTTGTAAGTATTACAACTATTTATAAATAAACACTGGCGATAAAAAATATCAATTTACTTCGAAAATCATTTCAGCAATCTTTCGTTACCATTTAGGTCGAACCTGCGTGTCGTGTTGGTCTCATAGATTTGTTTTTATGCCAATTCCCTACAAGTCGTTCTCGTAAACATGAAGAAGGCGAATTTCAAAGTAGGCGATAAAGTGTTCGCCAAAGTCAAGGGCTACCCCCCATGGCCAGCTCACGTTAGTATAAAATTCACCTTTTTTACAGAAGCATGAAATAACTAACAAAACCACTTTCAGATTGTCGGGGAAAACGGCAAAAAGTTCAATGTGGAATTTTACGGCACTGGCGAAACGTAAGCATTGCGTTTGTTCTATTAGAAACCCATTATTAGGGCTTATTCGACTCCGAAGTGCGAGCACAAACTTCGGTTAGTTGAATCAACAAGCCCTTACAGAAACAAGAATTTTGCCGACAAACTTTTTTCTAGTTAGAAAAGTATGTGCGTTATTTTCTGACAGATTTCACTCATTTTCGAGCAATTTTTTTGTTACACAAACAACTATTCCCATCTCTAGTTAAGGTCAAGTTAAAATTAACATTGGAATATCACATGTCCTATTTTTAAAGTTTAAACGGGTAGAATAATTGCACGAGCTAATGTTATTGAAAGTCTCATCTACCTAAAACTGAGAGTTTATGCATTACATGGATTCTTAGGGCTTCTCAAGTATCACGACAGGTTGAATAGCATTCAAACTGTTACTTTTGAGCAGTTAATTATAAGGTTATTTTACATAGTTTCTCGTTCTAGTGGTTCGATTAAAAAAGAAGACCTATTTTACTTCTTAAAGTACAAGGAAAAATTGCAGAAACCCCTCAAGCGGAAAGATTACATCGATGCGTTCGAGCAAATAAACGAGGCCATAGAGAACGATGGAGGCGATGGTGATGAATCGACTAATACTAACGTCTCAACCCCAAACGTAAGCATATCGACTGGATCCCCAAAGACTTGTCAATAATAATATTCATAGACTTCATACATCACATGATCACATAAAGATAAGTGCAGGTTTGTTTGCAATATGGTCGATTCTATGAGTTGAACAACTACTACTTCTAACTTAAGGGCGCAGGCGGACCTTGACCAAGACAGGCTCAAGCCAAGGTTTCGATACGTTAAGCGGACATCAGACCGATGTTTCATCAGCCATATCTCAGCCCCTGCAAAGAGGACTTCCCTCTAAACCTTAGTTATAGAGATTCGGTAGTTCTACAGTCGCCTTAGAATGTCCATCAATCCAGCTTCTTATGAGTTACAATCTCACGACATCACCCTTTATATGAGACCAATAATAATTGTCTCTGTTGCACCAATAGATCATATTGCTTACAACTTTGCACTTACATGTAATTACGATCACGTACAGTGATATTCATACTAAACAACGTATTAATCAAGCTATTAACATCTTATTTTTAGGTCTCCATGAACATATCGAACGTCAGTAGCGTCGAGTCTGAGAAAGGTAATGAAAAGAAAAATGTCAAAAGGAAACGGTCGTTACCTCGAGACAACCAAATCGATTCTAGTACGCCTACGAAGAAATCGGCGCGGCTCAGTAAAATTCACGAAGGTACGAGCATTACTATTCGCTAGCTTTATATTATTCATATTGTTTTTTTGATTGTAGATGCTCAGAAGATCGAGAAAGAAGAACCCGAAGAGGAAAAGATGGAATTGCCGGTGTCTCCGAAAAAATCGCCCAAAACTCCGAAAGTCTTGAAACAGGTCGAGGAGCAAAAGGACGGTAAAGAGGAGAAGAAGCCCAAAGAGGGTAAAGCTGATAAAAAAGATAAAGTTGTTAAGAAAGTTAAAACGGGAAAAAAAGATAAAGAAGATAGTAAAAATAAAGCGGATGACGAAGGGAAACCGGAAGCTGATGAAAAAGCTGAAGAAGGAGATAAAGTAGAGGAAAAAGATAAAGTAGAGGAAGTAGATAAACCAGATGAAATAGATGAAGCACAAGATGTAGACAAGCCAGATGAAGAAGAAGACGAGAAAGTAGATGAAGAAAAAGATGATAAAGCAGTTCAAGAAGATAAGGCAGATAAAGAAGATGTACTGGCTCCCGAAGTCGATGAAGAGTAATAAAATTTAATATAATAGATCTTTCAAACAATTTATTGGTAAATTTTTAGGAAGAAGGAAGAGCCGATACCAAAAGCTTCACCAATTCAACCAGCTGTGGTTGAGACCGCTGCTAAGGAAGAAAAAACTGACGTGAAAACGAATAAAATTAAAAAAGAAAAATTGGAGGAAAAGATCAAGATAGATCTGGTAATGGAAAGGGCCCTTAAAAATAATATTGCTTATGTAAGTTTTCTTAAATTCACTGCCTAGAAATTACTGTTGAATTTAATTTTATTATACAGGGTGGCGCGTTAGTACGGAAAAGCTCAATATCTGTTATTAGTAGAATATCTCGAAAAATATAAAATTTAGCTATAGGGAATGTTTAATAAGAATGAAAGTACTTCAAAAGTACTTCCCGGTAATGAAATGAAATACAAGGTGATCCATTTAAAAAAGTTCAAGTTAGGTCTACCACGGAAAAACGTTAACCTCTGTATAAATGTAACTAATTTTAGAATATGCAGCTCAAAATAATTACAACTTTTGTAAAGAAGTTTTTTTCTGATATCTTATCCAATAACAGATATATTGAACTTTTGCACACTAATGTGCCACCCTGTACATTAAATTAATTTTCATTAAATTGAAAAACTCAATGATTTATTTTGCTATTCGCAAGAATTAATTCTTAATAATTAATGTTCAAAATTACTTGTTCCAGGCCGAGCACGTCAGAAAATCACAGAAATTTTACAAAGGTGAGCAATACTCTTATAATACAGGGTGTCCCAATGAATAGTAGCCCATCAAATGGTTTGTAACCAACGATTATATATTTCCGAATTTTAAATGGGGCAACGTCGCTTATTTGAATCCTTACCAAGATGAAAGGGAGGTTAGTTTTTGCCATTCTTCTACAATTTTGAGCGCTCCAGATTATCTAGAACTGCCTAGAAGAATTAAGAACGCTCCAGAATCATTCAGAACTGTCTAGAACAATTTAGAATGCTCCATCTTCATTTAGAATTCTCCAGACTCATTTAGAACGCTCCAGAATCATTCATAACTGTTTTGAACCATTTAGACTGCTCCACAATCATTTCGAACTGTCTTGAAAAATTTAGAACTCTCCAAACTCATTTGGAATGGTCCAGAATCATTTAGAACTGTCTAGGACCATTTAAATCTGCATAGGATATTGAAGCCGATGGTTTATTTCGAAGAAGAAAAATGACAAAAAGAACTAATCTCATTTTCATCTTGTTTAATATTCAAATAAGCAACGTTGTCATGTTTAAAATTCGGAATACCTCTATATATACGGGGTGTCCATGTGGAAATAACATGATTCCTTTAAATTTCTACGATTCCTTAAGATTAAAAATGTTTGTAGAACGACCGATCGAACCGAGACAAGACGACAGCAACCAAGTACTGCCGGTGAAACTGAAGTCCGGTAAAATAGCCGGCATTAAACTTCACCTAACGTGGCCTCTGAAATTTCAAAACGAGTACGATCGCGCCATCTACGACGAATCGGTGGCGAAGAGAGTGCTCGAAACGAAAGAGAAAATTCTGAAAGCCGACGAGGAAATCGACGAGAACGCGGAAGGGATCGTACCGGACATACAAATGTCCGAGGACGGGGTGATTCAAATGACTTCGCTGAAGGAGGTCGAAGTTAAGAAAGCCCGCATAGCTAGGCTGAATTTAGAAGCCGAACTGTTGGGGCTGGATGTTAAGATAAAAAATTGCTTAGGTTCGTTATCCATTTTATCGTTTTTGTAACGGCGAATTAATACGTTTGATTTTTAGCTCTCAATAAGGCGGATCCGAAAATAGCTATAGGCTATCTAGAGGAGATTTATAAACTGGAATTCGACGATGTGGTGCTCAAGAAACACCTTCATATCGTCGAAATGGTGAGAAGACTGAGAAAGTACGTTGGAAATATTAAAGAATGGAATCTGAGCAACGATTCGTTGGCGGAGTTTTCAAAAGAGGCCAAAAAAGTTCGAGAAATCGCCGAGAAAATTTACGCCAAGTTCAAGGTATTGTATCACTTATGGAAAGTTTGATAATTTTGAGAACTAACGTAATTTTCGTCTTTCAGAAAACCGTAAAATTGCCCGAAAATTGTTTGAGTTTCTTTGATGGCTTTACAGAGTTGGTAAATAAATTCAAAGCGGAATGCAAGGAATTAGAATTAACAGAGACTGATATATTTGTCTTGAGTGCTGAACCCAGTAAGTTTTATGCATAACATTATAAATACATAACGTTCTAAACAGTTCTTAATGATTCTGAAGCGTTCTAAGCTGTTCTGGACTGTTTATTGTAGACAGTTCTAGATGATTCTGAAGCGTTCTAAGTGCTTCTAGCTAGACTGTTTAAATGTTTCTGGAGCGTTCTAAATGGTTCTAGACAGTTCTAACGTAAATTCATCTAAATTTGCATCTACTTCGATGTAATATTATTTTTTATTTCTAGGATCTCGACAAGCTTTTTTAAGTAGACTTGATGAAAAGGAAGCGGAAAAGGTAAATAACAGATGCAGTAATTACATTCAAGTTGAATTTACATCATGCCTAATTAGTTATCTCTTGGTAATAGTTTAATTATGAAGAGAAACTGGTTTTAAAGAGTTTATTTTTACTGGGATTTTCGATTCTATTATAGGTTGCGACAAGTAATCTCCTTTCAGCGCAAAATAATCTCGTGAATGGGACGGCGGAAGCAGTTGAAGATGGAAGTTAGTTAATTATTTTTTTGAATGTATGTAAATACTGTCGAACGCTTTGTTTCTATGTTCATGATACCTATGCTTAAATTAATTTTATGTAAATACAGTTCATTCTCTTTTTACATTAGTGGTCGACGCAATTATATTTTTGATAAATAGTTATAAGGAAATGATTTATTTGAATTTAAACCCCGGTTAATTCATGGAATTTGAAAGTTTTAAGACGTACAAACGCGCATTATTTCACCACCCTGTATCATTTAGTATCAATTTTATTGGCAAAATGTAATAATTTTTGTAAGTTATTTGTATATGGCTATTTTCATATTGAAATCAAATAAACATTACACATAGCTACTTCAAATAAGCTAAATCCAAGTTCCCAATTAATGAGTTTGAAATTTTTAAAGCAGGAATAAGGAATTGATTCATTGGTATCTTGATAACAATCAAGTACAAGACTTCATACTAACAAATGGATAATTTAGAAAGAAATATTTATATAAACCAAGGAACAGGGAACAGTATTATTATATGAAATATTTATTTTATAAAATTTTAAATGTCCAATATCATAGTTCATAGTAACCAAATACACATAGTAGCAGAGGCCAAAGGTGCTACTTCATGTTATTAATGTTAACATAACCTAAAAATTAGAAACTAATTTTGATTTCCAATTCTAATTTTGTTATTATAAACAAAAACACTACATAAAATATTCTTCGATTGATTTCAAACCATAGAAAAGGCCTAATCAGTACGATTTATGAATAAAAATAGTGAATAGTAATGACCGAGGTATGTAATATTGTTTAGTTTTGTAGTCTAACAATCACAGTAAAATAATTATTATCTTTAACTTTTACAGATGCGACATGATTCAGATTGGTCAAAGTACGCAAAGTTCTACGATCCGATCAAAATAGGCTCGATCGATGGCACTGACGTGGAGCCCCATGACAGGGCTATCGAGAGGGCAGTGAATTCAACGTATGTGCCCAATAGGCACGTCAAAGGCAAACCCAGCTGCACTCTTTTCGTTAGCAGACTCAATCACAACGTAACCAAAGAGACCATAAAAGAAATATTCTCGAAATATGGTAAACTGAAGCGATTTCGATTAGTCAAAGACATCGTAACAGGTATGCCTAAAGGGTACGCTTTTATCGAGTACGAAGAAGAAAGTTCGGCTGAAGAAGCCTACAGGGAGGCTAATAAGATGAATGTTGAGGGTAGCATTATTTTTGTGGATTTCGAGTGTGAACGGTTGTTAAAAGGATGGAAACCTCGAAGGCTGGGAGGAGGTTTTGGGGGCCAAAAAGAATCTGGGCAATTGAGGTTTGGTGGGCGAGACAGGCCTTTTAGAAAACCGATTAGTTTGGAATTGAGGGAAGAAGAGGAGAGACGAGATAGGCAAAGAAGACTGGCGGCTAAAGATGAAAGGGAGCGGGATAGAAGACGAAGAAGAAGGCCCAGGTCTCCTAGAAGTAGAAGCTAAGGTATTATTATATTAATAATTTCGGTTCTGTAGTAAACTTTATTTTGGTAAATTCTACAAAACTAATAAAGTAACAGCAGAAACAAAATTGCATATTAATAACAAATTAACATTAAAAATTACCCCTACTTTTTACTGTAAATATAAAATAAATAAATTTTTCTAATGTATAAAAATATATTGAATTATTTTCAAGATAAGTAAACTGCAAATGTTAATTAAGTTAATCTTCCTTGTTTGTCGCCTTAGTTAATTTAGTTTAAATCGGCTGCTTTCTGGCTAAAAATACAACTTTAAAACTACAACAAAAATATTTTTATAAAAAAAATATACTTTCTATGCATAATAAAATAATTAATAAAATTAAAGGTTCTACAAAAATTTTAAAAGCGAAATCAATTCACAGCTTTACGAATATTTTACAAATATTGTATTCTTTAGTGTAAATCCTTTTCATCTTTCTGATCTCGACACTGAGAAATAAAATTATTGAACGCAATCATGAGGGGTTTTTACGAATAAAATAAATTAGCATTTTCTAAAATTAACTTGTAACGTGAACAATTTGTTTTGATTAAAATAATAAAAATTCTTGTAAATAAATAATGTTTAAAATTAAAATAATATTCTGAAATGCTTCATAATCTAACAACTGCCCTCAAAACTTTTTCATTAAATTTTCGTCAACCTTTCTTTGAGGTTTATACGCTTCTCTTCAAATTTTTTACAAAAATTAAAATAACAAACATAACTTTAAACAAAAAGAGTAACAGCAATTTGAATAAGTATAGTTGAATACGAGATTTATGTAATAAAATATAAAATATTACAACATGGAGATATAATACTTATGTCTAATCCTAAAATAACAGAACAACAAATAAAATTTTTGTGCATAGTATTGTAACTAATCTATATTTCGGGATTTATCTCTCGAATGGCAAGAAAATCCTATATCCTATTGTTTTCCTCCCCTATATATACAGTTTTGGTAAACGTTTAGCAAATTGGCATCACCATTCAACTAAATGATGATGCCGATTTTTATCGAAACGTCTCACTATACAATACTATACTGATTTTTTTTAATTTTATTTAAACAAATTGTAAAATACTGACCAACGCTGTACAGCGACTTTTCTTTAATCTAAAACCAATTCAATCACATTAATTTCCCATTATTGCACAACTTTTAAATATCGTAAATTTAAATTAAATTATTGAGTGTGGATTTTAAAGAATATGAATTTATAAGTAATTTGCATCATATGTACTATTCGAGTTCGTATCTGTAAATTAAGTGAGTCTCCAAGTAATATATTCATCATATAAGAGAATATCTTGCAGAGTTTCCAACTTCTTTTTCTATCACTGAATTTACAAATATCCTCAGATATTTTCACGTTTTTTTGCCTACTATTCCAAAAACAATCCAGCAAACACAGAATTTGATCCAACGAATTGATACAGGCCTTTCATCGTTTCCGATTTTCCCAGATTTAATTTCGTGTTCATCTGACAAGGCACATAGCAAACTCAAGTTAGTCAGTACTTTAAAACGAACGAAAAGTACAGATTATAATATATCGTTTTTCTTTTCAAACAGGATTGTCTATGCTTTTATTACTTGTTTAGTCTGGAGGTAGATAGCTAAACAGTTTGAATTTGTTTCTGATGTGCGGCCGGACGTCTTCCTTCTAAAAATTCAAAACAAAAAAATTATAATGATAACTGTCAGTCTGATAAAATTTAACAGTCGGTTAAGAATATTTTATTATTCATCACGGTATTTGAAGTCACTGATAGTAAACAGACAGTTTTCTTTAAAATAACCAAGATTAAGTTATTATTACGATATATTTCTTAACTTCTTGAGGAACTCAAAACCACAAATTATTAAATTTGTATAAATCTCAAATTTGTATATTTGAAGAAGGTAATAATTATAATAACCCGTATTCCAGCGGTTATTCCATCTAACCGATACAGGGTGTCCCAACTATAATTTTTATTTATTTATTAACAATATTTTTCACATTGAGCAGTACATTTTAGTTAGTTGGGACAACATGTATAGCATTATATTTCCAATTTTTAAGAATTAGTTAGAAATTTGTTCAATATTTGCAGTGAAACCCATAACATCCTAATACCATATAAAAATACTTACCACTGCTATCAGACTCTCTAAAAATGGTAACAATTTGATGAGTTCTGAATCGCTTCTGTCTTCGAACCAACTTTCAATAGGGATACCATTATTCAACTACAATCAAATCAAAACAACACATTAAAATCAAAATCGTTTTACTTTATGTTAAAGATCTCCATTGATATACTTACATGATAGCCGAAAGCCTGCGGCGAATTATCAATAATAATCGTTTTAGAAAGGTCCCGCCCAAGAATGGAAAGATCTTTGATATAGTTTCCATTAACGCAAACGCAATGTTCCCGGAACAGCCGGTACTTGATCCACTTCCTGTCCGGATCCAGCAAATTAAGGAGTTTATCGGCGTAGACCCTCTTAGATGCCGTGAACAGTATAACCTCGAACATTTGAGACACTTTCTCCATGAATTCCTTAAAATACGGCCTGGTTCTCACGTAAACCGTGTATGAACAATCTTGGAACAGAACGGGAAAGTGAAAACTGGCGTCTTTTAATTCTTGCAAGCTGCAATGGACCAACGTCTCGTCTAAATCCAACACCTGCAAAATATCCATCATGTACAAACGCACGAATCTAACAACATTCAGTTAAAACCTTACCAGACTAAAGTCAGGGCTCGACCGAGTCTTCAAAGGCAGAGCCGGACAACTCGATCGCATCTCGCACGTCAGCGGAGGTAAATGCTTGATGAACAGGTAAGGATCGAAAGCATCCCAAGTATCCTCGACTTCGATGTGTTCAGGTTGCCTATCCAGCCTCTCGACTTCGGGCGATTGCACGCTGGCAATCATGTGATTATCGGGCATGTTCGGGGAATACAAAGTAGCGTAATCGTAGACGTTCTGCAGGCCGCCTTCTTTCGTGATCTCCTCGTCCAGCATGTTGGTGAATTCTTGGGTATTAACGTTACTCAAATCGTTGATGTCCATTTGCAAATCGGGATAGTCGGTCTTCATGGAAGGATATTCGTAGTACATGCTCTCGCAGATCTTCTCCGCTAACATCCTGTAGTCCCTTTGGTACTCGCATTCTTTCTTGTCGGCGACGTGGAACTGGATTTTATCGACGTAGTTCATGTTTTCAATGGTGTTCAGTTCGATGGTTGAATATTCGATTTCCTTAGGAAGGTCGGGGTTGATGATGTGATCAGATTGGGATTCATAAGAACTTGTGGCGGAGCTCGAACTGTTGTAGTACTCGTAGCACCTTGGGGGCGGCGCGAGCTCGATGCTGGGAGGCGGGATACTCAGGGCGTCCGATTTTCTTTCTTCTTCTTCGCCCAATTCCGGGACCACTTGGGACTGGTAATTCTCCTTGCACTCCTCTGATACATCGGATTTTGGGACATCGGTTCCTTTCGAGGGTTTCTTCTTAGTGGATTTTAAGCAGCTTTTGTACAACGATACTGTTCGGGATTTGGGCACCCAACCGGTTTTTCTCACCGCTTTTTTGGGTTTGCTTAAGGGCAAGGAAAATTTATTGATTGCCCTGCTTCGTTTCTCACTACGTAACCACATGTTGCTTATCCATTTATACCTGCAAAATTGCCATTGTGAGATAAACATACTGTTAAAAAAGGGTGTTTGCATTTGAAACAAGAAAAAAAGGATAAGTATCTGAAGCGTTCTAAATGATTCGAGAGCGTTCTAAATGGTTCTGGGGCGGTATAAACGATTCTAAACACTTCTAAATGATTCTGGAGCGTTTTAAATGATTCTGGAGTTTTAAATGGTCCTGGAGCGGTCTAAATGATTCTAGACACTTCTAAATGATTCTGGAGAGTTCTAAATGATTCTGGTGAGTTCTAAATAGTTCTGGAGTTCTACATTATTCCCAGCGATTTTTTCCTTTTTATTTTTATCCTTTTTTTGTGCGTGTTTATTATAATATTCAGTAATATAAAGGATTTCAATTACAACTCGGCAACGTTGCAATAGGCTGGCTCATGACGTCATTTTTATTTTAAAATGTACAAATTTTATTACAAGAGACGTATGAAAATTGTGTAGCAATTTTGCATATTTTTTCGTTATAAAGAAATAGCTATTTTGATAACCGATGAAAAATTCAAATAAGACTTCAATAGTTTGTTTATAAATAAACAAATTTTAAAAACATTACATAACTTATAAATAAATATTATTTTAATTAAAGCACCTGTAGAAAAATTAAGGCGCACTTGAAACGGAACGAAATTATTTGAAAATAGATAAAAATCCTTCGAAATTGAAAATCACAAAACAAAAAAAAAAGCATAAAACATGAAAAATTGGCAGCGATCTGCATTCGGAAAAATGATGAATGAATTACACCTGCGATTCCAACGAAATGCAATATCGATTTTATTCCCATTAGAATGATGTAATTCCAATAGCCGAATCGGTTTCAAATTCATATTTAATAATCCCAAATGCAACGGAATATTGGAAAAATATTAACAAAAAACGAAGAGCGCAAATCGAACAAATCTCTTTACGCTTTATTGACCTTTTTTAAAACAAACCAAGTAAATTTCTTAACTTTAGGCTGTTAAATTTAGATGTAATTATTCACCCGCCTACTAACATTAATGGAATATCGAAAAATTCAAATAGTAAATAATGGAATAATTTGCATCGCTCGAAGTCTAGCAACCTGAGCGCGATGCAACTTTTTTGTCTTCAAATGTTTACAAACATAAGAGCAAAAGCCGCTTAAAATGTTTGGCTTTACAAATCTGCGGACGAAATGAATAACACTGTCAATAAAAGGATTAAGAGAATTCATACGAACCTTATTAAGTAGAAAATATTAGAAGCGATTAAGTATTATCAAGTACATTAATCATTACAACAATTTCACTTTATCACTCAAATGCAACACAAAGCGCCTTATCAAAATGGCGGCCCACGCGATTGTGATTTGTGATTGATATATCTGGCTTCTGCACATGCGCAGCTCAAAACAGGTTTGTAGGTGAGTAAAAATAATGACTGACAATAATTGATTTTGCTTAATAATGAGGAACGGTAAATATCGAAATTATGTAAAATGATTTTAAACGTCTATAAATAACAAAATATTAAATACGGTCTAAATAAATCCAAAAATCTATTACATTTTTTACTTGACTAATTTGGTGCAAGAGTGAAATAGATATACGCCTAACGCCAAAAGCATAATAAAAGACAAAGATAAAAGTTGTAATTAAAATTTGATTGCTTCAGAACCGGAACTCGGAACACCGGTAAATTTAATCAAATTAAACACCTCTGCAGCAAGTGTCACTGTCATTACTGTCATTTGTACGTCAAAGTCAAGTGAATTGTAAATATTTCATTAGAAGAAAATTTTATACCACTTCAAACTAGAGTTTGTTTTTATGAATAAAAATGGTAAATATATACACTAACGAAAATAATCCGGCTACTTTAAAATTAATTATAGCTAAAAATATAGCTAAACAAGTAGTTAATTTAAAGCTAGTTAATTTGCATGGTGAGTTTCCAAAGCCCACGTGGGATAACATATTGCGGGTTTTCCAAGAAATTACGTGTTTTTATATCCATTTACAGATAATACCGTCCCGCAGCCGAAACATCTGCCTTGCCTCGAATTAGATAATCAAGAAATTTTGTTTTCGGCTAATACTTCAATATGTTATTTTGTACCAATTGCTGATGAAACTTCAGCAGATATTGTAGACTTATTGGAGTGGGAAAGCACCGTTTTATCGCCTCAATTGGCTCAAGTACTCGGAAGTTCTTCAAAAAGTGATAACATCAAGAACTCCTTGCTCTCTAGTTTAAAGTTCTTGAACGAATTGCTTCAAAACAGGAATTTTTTGGTCGGGGTACGTTATTGAGTTACTGTGAATTAATTTTATTACTTTTGGTTATTAAATGTTTGTATTTTAGAATGACATTACTCCTGCTGATATTGCTATATGGAGCACTTTATATCCTCTTAGTAGTTGCGAGAAGTTTTCGAAAGAATTTCTTGGAGCTTCACCAAACATTAAAAGTTGGATAGATTCTTTAAAATCCAGAAATGAATTTAATGTAAGTCTTTGGATACAAAAGTTACGATGTTATTATAATTTATTTAATTATTTTTAAGGAAGCAATTGATTCTTTCAAATTGGACAGTTCCACAGCTTACAATGCTCTACTTACCGGTGCCAAGTACTTGTCAACAACAGAAGATTCCGGTAAAGAAAAAAAAGTACCCGCTCCTCAAGTTGAAAAAGAATCAATTCCGGAAACTGTCACGGCAGAGGAACTGGCATCTGTCAAGGAATCCTGGAAAAAAGATATTACCAAGCAAGTCAAGTTGAAGCAAACTAATGGACCAGTGTAAGTTACCTTTAATCTAATTCCTATTTTATGTTAATCGGTATCTGTTTACTTTCCAGTTTGCCGATTCCCGGAGAAAAAAATGTATTAATCACGTCCGCCTTACCTTACGTAAACAACGTTCCTCACCTCGGCAATCTCATTGGCTGCGTACTATCCGCTGATGTGTTCGCCCGTTTCTCGCGCTTGTGTAACCACAACACCCTGTATTTGTGTGGCACAGACGAGTACGGCACGGCCACCGAAACCAAGGCTTTGGAAGAGGGACTGACGTGCCAACAAATCTGCGATAAATACCACAAAATCCACAAAGAAATTTACGAATGGTTTAACATAAGCTTCGATCACTTCGGTCGAACCTCCACCCCGCATCAAAAAGAGTAAGTACAATGCGATTTGGAAATCTGAGTAAGTAGATAATCATTATTTGCGTTGTAGAATATGCCAAGACATGTTCTTCTGTCTTAATAACAACGGTTTTATGTTCACCGAATCCGTGGATCAGTTGCACTGCGAAAGATGCAATAAATTTCTAGCGGATAGATTCGTCGAAGGTGGCTGTCCTCACCCGGGCTGCAATTACGAGGATGCAAGGGGCGATCAATGCGACGGTTGCGGAAAATTAATAAACGCGACCGAATTGAAAAACCCTAGGTGTAAAACGTGCAGTAATACGCCAAAAGTGAAAAAATCTACGCAATTTTTCATGGATTTACCAAAAGTAATTACTCTCAATAATACTTAAAATTACTGTATGTAACTTCGAAATCACACAGCTTAATAATAATTAATTTCTAGCTTGAGCCACTGGTTCACCATTGGTTCCGATTGAGGAGCCCCAATTGGTCGAGCAACGCCCAAGTGATAGCTAGATCTTGGTTGAAGGAAGGTTTGAAACCCAGGTGTATTACTAGGGATCTGAAATGGGGCGTACCTGTACCCGTCGATGGTTTTAGAGATAAAGTATTCTACGTATGGTTCGATGCACCTTTGGGGTATTTGTCTATTTCTAAAGCGTACACGAAGGATTACGAAAAGTGGTGGAAACCGGTTAAAGAAGAAGACATCAGTTATTATCAGTTTATGGCTAAAGATAATGTACCGTTCCATTCGATAATGTTCCCGGCTACTATGTTGGGTGCGAATAAGGGCTACACCACTGTCAGTCATTTAATGGCAACAGGTATGTTGATTCGTTTTGATTTTATTCTCAATAATAATTAAATTTTATTGTAGAGTATTTAAATTATGAAGATGGAAAGTTCTCCAAATCTAGAGGAGTGGGAGTTTTTGGAACAGACGCTCAAAGTACAGGAATTCCTAGTGATATATGGAGGTTTTATTTGTTATACATTAGACCAGAATCGCAGGATTCTAGTTTCAGTTGGACCGACTTTGCGACTAAGAATAATTCGGAATTACTGAATAATTTAGGAAATTTCATCAACAGGTAAAAAATAATTAATTTTGATATTTATACATGGTGTTAATTAATTGAGTGCCAATACTTCAGGATGTGTTATTTGGATGATTTTAAGAAGAAATATTTCCACATTAAGTATCAGAACTTAATTAATTAACATCCTGTATTACTGTATCATTATTCTTCTATGTCGTTTTAATTCTATTATAGGGCTTTAGTCTTCGCTAAAAACAATTTTAACAGAACTGTGCCGGAAATGAATCTTTTAGACGAAGATTATAATTTACTAGCTCTTTGCACTAGAGAATTAAAGGGATATTTGGATTCGCTAGAGAAAGTGAAGCTTAAGGATGGTATTCGACACATTCTATCCATTTCGAGACACGGTAATCAGTACATGCAGTCGAATCAACCTTGGGTGCTACTGAAAGGATCAGACGAACAAAAGTTGGTTTTATTAAAATTTTTAATTTCTGTAATTTCTATTTTAATTTATGTTTATATTTTAGATTACGCGCTGGAACTGTAGTCGGCGTATGTTGCAACTTAGCCTGCCTCATTGCTACTCTACTGCATCCTTATATGCCCGATACAAGCGAGAATCTTAAAAAGCAATTAAACGCTAAAAATATAGTGCTTAATCCAAGGTAATTGATGTACTAGTAGATACGAATATACATACATACAGGTAGATGCAAAACGTTATGGCTGTTATGATGTTAGGCCGTTATTTATAAAAAGAAACATAACCTTTTACTTTCAAAAATTGAAGCAATTGCTTCAAGGTATCTAGAAGTCATCTAGAACTGTCTAGAATCATTTAGAACGATCCAGAATCATTTAGAACTGTTTAGAAACATAGTAGAATATTGTGGGATTGCAACTTTCTTTCTCTAATCCCTCTAATTTCAACTTTCTTGATTCAACTCATAGACTTGACCATATTGCAATTAGCACTTACTCAACTTGTATTTACTATTTATAAGAAGTTTTTATGGAAATATTTATTTATTATACTTTATAGGCTTCCCGAAATTATTAAAATGCTTCCTTCTGGTCACAAACTCGAAGAACCTTCGCCTTTATTCGCCAAAATAGAGCAAGCTGCTATAGATGAATTAAAACGAAAATTTGCTGGTAAACAACAATCCGAAGCAAAGAATTCTACGGGAAATTCGTCGGAAATCAAAGAACTAGAAGCTGAAATTGCTAAGCAGGTATAATATACAGTTTGTGCAAAACAAATATCAAAGCACGTCACCTATGATTTACTATATCACAAGTAGGCAGTGTTGTCGAACTTTTATAGAGTTTACAAAATCTAAGAATTTTGTAAAATTGTCCAATGGAAAATGACAAGAACAAATTGAAAATTAGGGGTACCCGTTTCACGTTGATAAAAGGCGGACGTATTCAGGGGCTCACTGTAATTAAAAATCATGTACAATGTGTACATCAATAGTGTACAATTGACCCTTAAAAGAGTACATAGTAAAATTTCGGAGAAAACTTCTGAATCTGAATTATTTAGATCTTATAGAGATCTTATAGATCTCTTAGAAAATTCTTATTTCTTAATTATTCGGCTCAATAGCCTTTAGTAGTTTAGGCTACTAAACTAGAAAAAAGAAAAAGAAATTGAAAATTAAAAGTACCGATCGGATGACAACGGCAACTGTGGAAACCTACTATAAGAAAATAATAATAATTTTATCCACAAACGTTGAATTTTGACAATATATATTTTTTGGATGATTTAATTCTGCTTTTTAACATTTTCTATTGTCCCTTGTTAATATTAAATTAAATTCTGCAGGTATTAAGCTATTTTGTGTATTTATTTTAAAAAGTTGGCCACAATGCTTGGCAAGTATGGCGACAATTGATATTTGTTTTGCACCAACTGTACATATATTTGTATAGTAGTATTAAAAACTATTTTCTTAGAGATATTGATAGAGCTGGATTAATTATCCTATAATGCTTCCATTAATTTTAATATTCCATTTTAGTCGGCTAAAGTTACGTATATGAAATCTAAAGGAGAGCCTAAAGCGCTTTGGCAGCCCGAAGTCGCCATTCTTCAAGGGCTCAACAAAAAACTGGAAAGCGCGCGAAAGTCCGCGCCTGCGCTCAATAAGCCCCCGACTCAAAATAACGTAGCGAATGGTGGAGATGTAAAAAAACTCGAAGACGAAATCGCGAAACAAGTACGAATACTAATGAATATTTAACTATTTCATTAAATAAATGTAAATTTTAGGCGTTGGTTGTGAGGAAATTGAAAGAAGGGGGATCGGAAAAATCCGTCTGGCAACCAGAAGTGGATAAACTGCTGGAGTTGAAAAAGCAATTGGCCCAAGTGTCTGGTGTAGCGTTGCCTCAGAAGGGCAAAAAAGGAAAGAAATAAAATTTAAGTATTACAGTGAATGTGTGATTAGTAATTTATTTAGAAGTATTTATTAATTATGTCGTAATAAAACTTCAATGCACTGTAGGTGACCTATCATTTAAAAAAAATTCCATAGAGATGCAAAATATACAATTATTGGTTAAAAAATTTAATAATACTATTATTACAAATATATACAATGAAAATAAAACCTATACAAATATCGACTACAAACATGTAGAATCTTAAAATTTAAGGTTTCTCATTAATTTTATTAGATGTACAGACATACAAGTGGAAAATATCTAAATCCCTCGACTCTTAATTACCTAATTAAACATCAGGTTGAGGACTTGTATCTCTTAAATCAAAAACTACAAGAAAACTCCAAAAATCTCCAATTTCCATAAGATATTTTTCCACGTCCTACATTAAATTATCACATAGAATAGAATCATTTCCCAAACAATTTCAACAGCACCATCATCATTTGACTAGTATACGGGCAAAATTTATAAATCTTCATGCACTGACTGGGTTTCGCGACTTTTTCACCTTTCCTCAAAGCATCCTGTAACTGCTTACTGGCCCAAGTATCTTCATGCGCAGAATATCTAAAAATAAACATATTTTCTCACTCCAAATTTTACAAAACAATTAACTATAAACAACTCCATTCGAACTATACTCATAAATTCATCATAAATACTCATCACTCACCTAACTAACTTCAGCATAAGCTTCTCCTCGGCGGTCAGAAGCTCCTTTTCGGTAGCGACCAATTGACACAAGAAGCTTCTGGCACAGCTCGCAGGGTCCCTGGATAGCACCATCTCCCAATCGATTACAGGCATATCTGCCTCCTGGGTAGACCTCTTGAATATTTCCCTCCCGCCGGACGGATTAAAGTTGATGCCTCCGTTGTTCTGGATGGAGCTGAAATCTTGCGCCAAAGTGTGGACCATCCAGAGACCAGCTAAGCCCAAACCAGCCAATATGACCACTCGAATGAAGGGGGCCCCCTTAGCGAGTCCCAGGACCAGCGAAAACAGGAGGAATTTGAACCAAGCGTTCATCTGCAAGTTTAATTTCTATGATAATAGGGCGAATAACTCCAAAAGTTCTATGCAGAAAATACTTCAAATTATGTACAATTTAAGTACCTTAAATTCTTAGTTATTGGAAGATAAAATAGAACTGTTATGCATTAGCTATTTTTTAACCCGTCAGGTAAATACTTTTAATTTTGCAATCAATTTGCAATGTAATTGAATCACACACGACTTACCTTTTATCTTCTAAGTAGTTTCACTGGGCATCGTAATAGATGAGATAACGCGATCGGAGAATTCCTCACGTGTATTTATAAACTCTTGCGGAGCCTTGCGTACGATAAGGGAGTAAGGGGAAAGCACGATTGCGGCGAAAGTGAATTTTGTTGTTAACATGAAAAAAATATGCGTTTTACTTTTTACCGTTACAGATTATATTTTCGGCCGTTTATGATATATGAAATGGACATAAAATTATATTTTCGGCCGTTTATGAAATGGACATAAAATTCTCGCTTTTGCTGGTATGGAATTGAGGTGAATAAAAAGTTTATGACCTAAAGGAAAGTGGAAAACGATTTAGTTATGTAGATGTTGAAAGCATTTTTGCTGTGTTATTGTTTTCTTTATTTTTGTCCAATAATTTAGATTTTATGCAATTTGCATAAAAAAAGGAATATTTCACTTAATATACAGGGTGTTTCATTGGTAAATGGCTGTACAGGGTGTCCCGACACAGAGCAGAGAGAGTTTTGTAAAGGAGCCTAAAATATTTTGTTTCCAACTTAACATAGCCTAAACTTTTCAATTATCGACGATTTTAAGTAACATTTAGATAGTGTACATGACTTTATTTTTTAGCGTTTTTCATCAAAAAGGCAAAAAATTTTAAAAATCAATTCTGAGAAACAATTCATTCAATTTGAAATATCAATTATTGTATTCAGTTCAAATTTACGCTATCACACTTTCATTTTCAGTACGAACGGCACTTTCTCTGCAATACAGTCAACTGAATTTTTCTCGTTTACTAGAAAACTATTCCGACTACACACATTTAAACGGCCGGTGCATATGTGATCTTGCTCGTGGAATCGACCGCGAACCAGAAGAGGAAATGCTCTTGATTTTTACGCGGATTAGAAATATCTTTGCTATCTAATAAACAATTATTTTTTTCTCTCGAGCGTCTGTTATTATGTAAACTGGGCTGGTTTGATTATGTATGAAATGTTCCTTATTTAGTTCTCTGTGCACCAGGCAGAGTTAATATATCGAATTGAAATGATTTAATTGATCGATACAATTAATTAATTAAGTTTCGTAGTATTTCTAGGAAAGCGGATCGTGTTTGAAAAAGAATGTGTATTTAATAAAGAGATTAAAATTATAAAACAATTATTAGGACGTAAAATAAATTACTGCATCAAAATTATGTAGATATTTAAAATTGATATTGTTTCATGGAACGGTGTTTATTCAAGATGACCGATTTAGTTTATTACCCATCAATCAAGTGTTATTCCAGTACAAATAAATTTTTAACGGGGTGGTTGTTTAAAAATGGGGGTTTTTTTATTAGCAGGTAGCTGAATATTTAATCAACCCTATTTGTTAATTATTTTATAATAAAAAATAAGCAAATACACATAGTACAACGCAATAAGTATACCCAATTTTATCTCATTCTCATCAACTTTTTCTTTATTATAGACTCGCAAAAACATTTCTTGAAAACTCAAATCACTCACCCTGTACATATGTATGCCCAATATAATAGTACTTGCTGAATTTTTCCTGAAAGAAAATTTTCAATTCAATTTGAAGATGATCTCGTTTCCCAACAGAATGGTGAAAACCGTTTTTGAATCCGTAAGTCCAATACTGCTTTTATCCCGATTAGCCGGCGTATGCCCGTTAATAACGAAGAAAAACTATGGAGTGCCAGAATTGGTTAGGTCCAATTATTTGACAATGTTGCAAGTTATTATTCTTCTGATCAGTCTCGCTCATTTGGGGTTTATACCGTACGCTGTTATCAACATAGAAGAGGTAAATCTTAATGCCCATTAGGGTCCAATGGATGCCTGTAATAAATACCTTTAGCTGCTTCTTGAGTGTCTGGAAAAATTCATTTGGTCATTTTTGTAGATGCCACAAATTTCTTCACAATATAACGCAACAATAACAGACACTATTAAAGATTTGTCCAGTCAAAAATTTATAACGAAAATGGCCAATATCGTTCTGATTTCGTTTACTTCCATTTTGGTGAGGTTCTCCAATTTGATCCAGATGCCCAAACATTTGCCCGAATTGCTCAAGAATATTTACACTCTGGATCGAATTTCGCTACAAGCGAACAATCGCGATATCAAAAGAACTTTCCTTCTATCCGGTGAGTATATAATTACTGAATTGATTGAATTTTTCGTGATTTAATTTTGCTCGTTTTTAGTTGTTTTAATTGTAGTTTCTTGGCCTTATCAGATTTACTCCATTTTAATTGTGACTACTGATAGCTGGATGGCTTTCTTGATGTTTTACTTAAATTTGTACAATAATTTTGCCGTAATTTCCTGCGAATTTCAGTTCGTTGCGTTCGCTTGGATAATTGATAGTAGATTCGATAAATTGAATAAAACTTTGAAAGAATTGTGTAATAAGCAATACTTGGATAATGGTAATAAATGTAATAGAATTTATAATAAACTATTGGTGTTTGGACCCTTTTTTAGAGCAAGCTTCGTTAGTAAAACTTTCCCAAACTAGGAAATCTTCCAGACTCTTATGCCAGGCTTTCGGGAATTTAAATAGACTACACGGTTTCCAGCTTATGGCGATATTAAGCGGTCTAAGCTTGAACGTTTTGTTCGGATTGTACTTTTCGATTTTCGGCGGATTTACGAAAAACTCCACGAAAACCAGCATTAGTTTTCAACGGATTTCTAACATTACGAACGAAATTCTTTGGAGCATATACTATCTAACTCGGTTTGTTTTTATATGCATTGTTGCAGGATCGACAACTGATAAGGTTTGCATTTTTATTTGAAATTTACCATGTAATAGTGGTGCACCGGATCTCCGCGTCGAATTTATCTGAATATTAATGCCGAAACTCGACACTAAAAGTTTGGTTACTAATGCATGATGCTAGTCCATTCTCTAATCTACTTTATTCTGAAGAACTATCCATGATTCTAACCATATTTTGGTTTTAAATTGTTAGAATACAAATCCCTTTGATTCTACTTTACTTTACTCTACTCTATTGCACTCTACTCCCGAGAAATCTATTGCACTCTACTCCCGAGAAATCTACGCACCACTCTGAGCATATTTTGGATTTAAATTGTTCGAATATAAATCCCTTTGATTCTACTCTATTCTCATTTCCCCTGCTCTCTACTCTAATCTCCTCTCCTGTGATCTCAAGAGCTCTACATGACTCATACAGCAAATCCATTTGCTTCTAGTCTCTAGTCTATTCCACTCTACTATAGTACTTATAGTAGAGTAGCCTATAGATCTCTATTCTGCTTTAATCTAATCTACACCCTTTATAGTTTTGATAGTTGGAAATTTTTCAGTTTGTAGAAATTAAATAAGCTTTCAATTAGAAAGCTCAATGAGAGTATTAGGTACTCAATTAGATATTGCTATTTTTCCTTAATGAATTCCGGTGCATCGAGTAATAGTAGGTCAAAACTTAAAATTACCAGAAGAACCATTCTATTAAAATCAGTTAGGTTTAATCTATGTTTTAGGCAAATACACAGAAAAAATTAATTTGCGATTTATTAGAAATAACGACTTTTGAAGCAGTAAAAAAGAAGGTAATCGTAATAGTAACATTATGCACGAAGAGTAAGATTAAAATGTAATATTTTTTTAGTTATGGATTTATCTGTCTTTTACAATCACTAACAAGCTATTTTTCACAGCTTGCGGATTCTTTACAATAAACAAAGCTTTAATAACTTCAGTAAGTGTAGAGAGTTAGTAAATATTAAGTAAATCATCGATGTGTCCATTATTTTCAGGCCATTTCGATGGGTACTACCTATTTGGTTATTCTAGCACAATTCCAAAAAAAATAAGCAAAAATTCATTACTAAATCAGATCAATGTAGGAGATTACAAATTAATAGTGTAACAGTCGTTTCATACCATAATAATTAAATCAATTACACACTTAATATATATTTTGATCGGATTTTAGCTAGCACAATGATTGAATTAAACAATGAAGCATTCCAAAATTTAAAAAATAAAATCTGATTACTTAGAAAACGTTTATTTTTACTGACACTCGAAAACACATCGCTTAAATACAAATCATACTTATATAGGCTTGATCTTAAAATGTAAACCGATCAAAGAAAATACCAAACACTTCAAATCCTGTACCAAGTAGTAGAAGCACCGCAGCCCTTCCGGGTCCTTCGACTGGCTAACGTCCACCAAAGAGCCAGTTTTCGAGGTGGTAAACGAAATGTGCTCGTCTTTGATAACGATCTCCAGCTCCTGCCTTCCGATGCGGTCCGGCGGCGGCCACAGCGAGTCGTCCTCTTGCATGATCTCCGAATCGTTGATGATCCGTTTCAGCTCCTCCATCACGCACTGGTGCACGTAGACCTCCTTTCGGATCATCGTGTCGTTTTTGTAATTCGAATTGTTTGCGTACCGCAATTTGCCGTCCGGCCGGAATTCGAACTCCAAAACTCGTGGCCGAATTTCCCTTTGTGACCGACGTAGTATCGTATGTAAAAATCTGCCATGGTTTTGTTATTCGCGAATAACAGTAAATAAATTAATAAATACCAATTCGATACCAAGCCTTGTTTGCATAGGTTAGTTTCGGCTTCTAATTCTTCTACTTAACGACCTGTCAAATGTCATGTGAAAGTTATATATTGACTCTTTTTATTGGAAACTTCAGGCATTAATGTGTAATAAAAAAGAAGAATTTAATAACCTAACAATTTATCACTGACATTCGAGTGTTGAGATCAGTGTGAAAGTCTGAAGTAACTTATAACATATTGCATCTTATTGTACAGTATTGTATTATTTATTAGATAAAAATGATTTCAAGAAGAAGTAGAATTAAAGGAATCGCGAATATTCCACAAAGACGTAAACAAGCTAATGATGATAATGAGACACAAACCGAAGAAGCAGAAACTAGCAATAAAAAAGTACCCGATGAAGATACTGTAGCTAAAAAGAAAAGAAAATTATCAGAAACCGTTGTTTCCAACGAAGAACCAAACAAGCAAAAGCAGAGTAATTCCGACCAATCTACAAAAACCAAAACTACCCCTTCGCAACAAGAAACTCCGATTGATAAAGTCGATCAAACAAAAATCGCCTCACCTAATAATTCAATACCAACTACTAATACAGACACTTGTTTCCAAAAGCCTTTATCGATTACGAGTAACGCCGTAATATCGGACACTGAATACCCTTTGCCGCCTCCCAGCCCCAATAAAGCGAATAGAACTCGAATAAAAGCAACCCCGAGATTAGCACACCGCAAAATGAGTTTTAGTGCTAGCGAATCGGAAGATGAAAGCCGTAAGGTGGCTCGAATACGAACTGAATCCGTGTCTTCGAACATCGTGGCAAACGATTTTATACTACCCGATTATATTTCCTCTCAACGAAGGAAAGAGGCCCTAATAACACCGAAGAAAACCAGTCGATCGGAACAAACCAGAAAGCTAGCCGAAGCCAGAAGGGAGTTCGTTAGACGATTCGGAGAGAAGAAACCTGAAAGGAATAAGCTCACTATGATGGATCTCATTTTTTACAATCCTAATTCGAATCCTATGGACGTTGCCGAAAAGAATTCTGTAGATGATCCGGAAGTAGAAAATCCAATTGAAACTCACCCGGACGACCCTTCTCCTAACGAAGAAGACAACGGAAAGAGCGACGAGGAAAACTCCATGCCGGTGCCTCAAATCAAAATAGGCCCTTCTGGTGAGATCATTCTCGACGAACAGAGCGTGTTGATAGAAACGAAAGACGTGCAGAAAAAGCGCGAGGAAATGAACAAAACCAAAATAGTCGACGCGGACGCCATGAAAACCGGTTACGGCATCTACAAGAAACAGAATCGATCGAAATGCTGGTCGGAATCCGAAACCATTCGCTTCTACAAAGCCCTGAACTCCATCGGCACGGATTTCACGCTGATGTCCGAGCTGTTTCCCAACAGGACGAGAAGAGAACTAAAAATGAAGTTCAAGAAGGAAGAGAAAACTAACAGGCAGCTCATCGACAAGGCCATGATGCAACCGTGTAGGTTCGATTTCGAGGATTTGAAATGCGAACTGGAAATGGAAGAAAGGGAAATGAACGCGTTGAGGATACAAAACGAGAAGCAGAAAAAAGAGAAAGAGGAAAACGTGAAAAAACAGCAACACAAGATGTTAGAGAAAGCCAAGAAAAGAAAGCTGGTAGAAACCGCCGAAACGTCAACTGAAGCACAGACAGAGAACAGCGAAAAGAATGAAGCAAAGCAAGCAACAAGAGGAAGGGGACGTCCAAAGAAAACCAATAAAATCTCGATCAAAAACTTCATGTCCGACAGCGATGCCGATGAATCGGATTTAGGAACTCAAAGCGAATCTGATGAAGAAATATTGCTGTCCAGAAAACCCACACGATCCGGACGATTGCCCAAAATTGTCCAGAGATACGAAAACGAGCCCGCCAGTCTCAAGTCCATTATAAGCGGTTCTAAAGTGACTAATCCAGAAGAGATGTCCAACATTGCTCCGGGTTCTATTATGGTTGTGAACGAAACAGGACCCGCCGGAGAGCCCGTGTATAAAATATACATGGTCACGCCGGAACAGAACGCCAAAGAACTCGACTTGTCCTCCGACATGGTGACCAAAGTGCTTCAGATGAAAGAAGGAATCACGGCGGAAAGCATAATGACAATATCGGCTAATGTCACTGACGAAGAGGACGAGTTTGAAGAAAATAACGTGACTATTCCCGCGGAAGAAAACGTGACTACACTTAAAACGGATAGCAATAAAAAGGATAGTAATCAAACGAATGAAATTAGCAAGTGTATACAAGAAACAGATACTGTGGTGGAGACTGAGAGTGGTAAAAAAAATTATCCTGTTTTATCTGAAGATGATATTGTTTATAATGTGGAAGTGTAAATGACCCTTGCTCAAATGTTCACCAAAAGAAATTAATTGTTAATTATCATTCATCACTAATATCCCTGTGTAAACTTATCATCACTTGGTTCTACATTAAGAATGATATATCATCATCATCCTATCGTATTCTAAGATGACATACAGGGTGGCTCATTAGTATGGAAAAGCTCAATACATCTGAGTTTACGTTCTATTTGTTTTAAATTGAATATCTCGAAAAATATCAATGTTGGGTATAGGGAATGTTTAATAAGAACGAAAATAATTCAAAAATACTTCGAATATTATATTGTTGGGGAGCTGAAAGTGAACTAAATTCAATTTTTCAATAAAAAAACAGTGTTCCATTTAAGAAAGCATAAGTTTGGTTTACCACGGAAAAACGGGACACTCTGTATAAATATTGCAACTAATATTGCATGAAATATGCAGCTTAAAAAGATCTACAACTTTTGTAGTGTGGTTTTTTTATGATCTTCTCCAATAACTGATATAATGAGCTTTTGCATACTAATGTGCCACCCTGTATGTTTAAAAATCATCATTTTTGATGCAGTGGAACTGGAAATTTGTTATCCAAAAGCAAGTACAGTGAAAATATTGCTTGTGTGCATGTTGATCTTGGTTACAATTTACCCCTATATTAAATTTTATATTTTATTATCTCTATTAACACACTTTTACATGAATCATTTCACCAGTTTTATTTTTACATAAAATGGTGTTATGAGAAAATATTTGCTGTTTTTGCGTAAGTGTGTAATTATAGGGTTTATAAAATATATTTTTGTGTGAATTCCCTCTCTCAGTGTAAACATTTTTATACATTTACACAATACTCTAGTCTAGTTGTCTGAGCCTGCAATACTTTACTCTAAATTTAATAGAATAAAAAAATAAAACTTTGCATCCTGTTAATCGTTATTTATTTGTATATAATATTTAACAAATTGTATTAATAAAGCATTTATTTGTCTTTTAGTGGCTCATTTAAATTATAAAATTAAACTAATGCACAAACTTGAGGGGTTTAAAAGTTTGCGAAACATCTCAATGTTATTTCTCAATAGGAATGGCTTTAATTTTTTCCTTTTGTTCTGTTAAAGCTCGAGATTCGTGAATAAAGACGACAAAGTTTATGCCCTAAAACAAAATAAAGTTCATTTTTTTCAAGAGCTACTTCAGGTTGTCCCAGTTCATTCAAATCGAAACAAAACACAGTTTTTTACAAATAATTTCACTTTACAAATGCTTGTTTTTTAATTTAGAAAACAATAATTATTGAGTTTTTGAGTGATTTATAGGAGGTAGGACAACCTGTCTTTAAGATCGTTTCAGAAATATACACATAAGTGCAAAATTGTACACAATATAGTTTATGGGTGCAACAAAGAGCACTTCTATTAGTCTCATATTAAGGAAAAAGAAAGGATGATATCATAGAATAGCAACATTCTCACTCTAACCACTGTTATTTTGCTATTTTTTCTTTGTTCAATTCATAGAATAGTTCGTATTGCAAACAAACCTGCACTTACCCATACAATAACAAATTTACCTGTTGTTTTGCGGCCCTAACAAACCCATCATTGGCAGTTACCGTTACAGCTCTAATTCTGTCCCCAAAAGTAAACACAATAAACGATCTCTTTTTAATTTTCCCGCCGACTTCGAGAATTTTCTCTTCCGCGTATTGGACCTTATCGAATATATCTCTGAACTGTTCACCATCAGTAGTGTGAGTATAATCAGCATCGTCCGGCAGAACGATAAGTCTATTTAACAATTCTTTAGCTCTGATCTTCTCAGTGGGTCCCCCAACTGTTTCTACAATATTCACGAAATTATCCTTGGCAGTTTGACAACAATAAAGGATTTTGTCGTGGAAAAAGGCATCTAAAATAGGCTTCTGAGGTCGCAGTCTCTCCCATTCAGCTTGCTGCTTCAAAACGGATACGTTAAAATCGTACAATTCCGCACTTCCATTAGTGACAGAGCTGCAATAAGCTAGCATTGCTGAGACGTCAAGATTCACTTTGTTTATAGTGGATATATTTTTTGTGGACAAATCGGATACATTTGGAATCCTCATGCACATCGGATGTTCAGGATCGACTTCTATATCACAATCGGAGTCCGAGTCTAATGGATTATCACTAACTCTGTCCCCTTGAACAGTGATTCCGTAAGATTCCAATTTTGCTGCTATATGACTTCCTATTCCATTGGTAAAAACAAAAATTATCTAAAATACACATTTCTATATATAAATACTTCGATTATTTACGAGGAATGTTAATCAAGCACTGGTTAACTCAGTAAGAAAATTGATATGAAATAAATAGGTATAAGTTCATTCACTAGTTCCTTAATAATAAAAAAATGATTACTTTAGGTGACTGAAATAAACAAGGGTGAAGTTTGGCGCAATCCACATAATCCTCCGCTTGATCTATGATACTCCTGACACCGAAACTCGAATTTCCCATGCAAATCTGACTGACTGATTTTGGATTTCTCGCTATTACTTTAGTCCAAGTTAAACCACCATCGCTTATAATATCAACTGTTATTTTCCTGTCGTCTAATAAGAACACTTTGTTTAAACTTTGGCAACGGTCCACAGTTTTCAGGACGTTTATGAGCGCAGAAAAATGTGTTAGGTTAGAACATTGAAGGTGCTCCTTCTTCAACGAATTAATCTTGCAAGCCTAATAACGTAACGTTTTTAAAATAATCGAAATAATTTAAGCGAGTTGCTTTACCTTCCTCAAGAATTTCAGTTCTTGGTTTATTTTGCGGACCAGTTTTTGGGAACCTTCAATATGTTTGAAAGTTTCTAACGATTTTAAAAGGCCTTCGCCGAATACAATTTTGTGTACGGCGCGATCTTTTAAGTCCAAAATATCTTCTAGTTCGTTTTCCATTATTTATCTCGTTTGAACAATTCAGAATATAACAATTTTTCAAATTTTTACCTTTTCTACTTGTATTTGAATGAAAAATGTAATGACAATGACCTGTCAGTATCACTAATGTCACTGTCGTTTTCTTCTTTGTCAATAAAAATGATCGATACCTAATACAGTTGGGTTAGACAATTCAAAATATAATATCTGAGTAACACAATAGTGACAGTATTCCAATGATATAAAAAATTTATAACCACATGATATTTGTCAGTTGTCAAGGGTTGTCAGTGTCATATGATTGCTGGGGTGTGAGTGTGTGAAACTATTAGTGGGTTTTAAAATGTATTTCATACCACTTTCATTTTTATTAATAGCCTCAGGTACGTTAATTTACAAATATTTAAGTAAACTCATTATTTAATACTCTTTTCCAGCTTACGGGTCCGGGGAATTTTCTGTTCTTCATCACGCCCCTAGTCTCGTCTTCAAGGGACATGACGCCCTTAAAGACACCACTGTTAAGGAGGTGTACGCCGCCGCTCTCGGTTTCTCGACCCATCATTTTTCCAATTGGAGAGGAATGTACCTGACTAATCCCTTCGAGGTAGCCAAAGCTATCGTTACCGTTTATGTAGATGGTGTGTCAGATATAGGACAACAGAAGGGGCACAACTATCCACTTAGCACTAACGAAGGTACGGCCAGGATTTACAAATCCCTCGAGAGACGAATTACGGAGCACTTTCCAGAGACTCCCACGAATTTGGTAAAAATTCGTTTATCTAACGGGTTGGAAGATGTAAGTCGATATGCTAATAAAAACTTCCATATTTCGTTGTTAATTGTTGAATTAATCTACTTGTAGGTTAACAAATATCCAATTTTCAATAACCTCATGTCAGGTGATTCGAAGCAACTCGGCCACAAGTTCTTAAAATTGGATGTTGAAGAAGACAGACAATTTTTGAAAGATTGCACCATTTTAAGAGAAATCGCTTCAAGAGTAAGTACCTATTCGTGGGAATCGATAGCACCAAGAAACCTTGAATTTTGCAGGTTGCAGGAAGCAGTATAAAAGTAGATGCGGTTCCCGATGTTTTTTGGTTCGAAGTGGGTTCATTCCACCCTCTTGTCGATTTCTACGGCGAAAATTCCAGCCAAGTACTTGAAGCTAAGCAAATACTCAACGAGGTGATCCTCGAAGTTAATTCCGCCTTTAACAAGCTCTACGACGGGTACGTCCTCGTTTCTGTTATAACGAGCGATGCCAGCCACACGAGAAAGGGGAGAAGTCTTCTACAAAGTAAAAGCGACAATACCGACACAAATGATGTAAGTGAATACGAAAGCAGTAAATACTGGGGACTATTTTTACATTTTTTTTATTTTGCAGAAAACTAAATACAACTTGGCAAGTTACTACAGCAAGGACTATCCAGTTATTTTTAACATTATTCTTTGGTTTGGGATAATGATGTTGTTTTCTCTTATTGCTATTAGTTTAGCCATTGGAAATATGGATCCTGGTCGCGATTCCATCATATACCGTATGACCAGCACGAGAATGAAGAAAGACAATTAAATTTAGAAGAAAAAAATCTCCATTTTAATTGAATGGTAGAAAACCAAATTGTTTTCTTGTCCCTTTTCACATATAGTATATAAATTCGATGTCGGATTTGATTACCTAAATTTCAGACTTGTTTTGTAGAATATGAACTAGATGTCGGTTGTAAATATTTACTATTGTTATTATTTATTAGTATTATGCGGCATTTTTAAAAGGTAATTTTGGGTTACCAATAAATCGTCGAATTACCTATTAAGAAATTTAAGCAAATATATATCACTGTCAGTTTTATTTTGTTGTTTGTAAGTAGACACATTCCCTAATAAATAAAATCGATGTTAAATGTATTTTATTATTTTACAATAACTTGTATAAAGAGCGTGTCTAGGGGTTGCATCGTCGTAATAAAAAACTTAAGTTTGAGTTAATATTTAATTATTCAAATCTATAAAAATAGGTTAAATGTTTTAAAACAAATAAGAGATAAAATTTAATTCGTTAATACCTTATTGGAAGAACTATTTCTTAGTATAAAAACACAGGGAATTAGTTTCAGGATTAAATTGTACGAATATTGTAAAATATTACAAATTAGGGCGTTCAATTACCGGATATTATCAAAGCATAAATAATTTATAGATCATTTTTATAAATTGTAAGCTTAAAAAAATACAGTTAATTAATAATTAAAAACGTTACTAACTGTACTTTTATGAACTATGTATTCCCAGATCTACGGAATGCACTACAATAAAGGCACTTTAATTATAGTCTACGTATGGTATTTGGAAAAAAAAGTTCTATGTAAAATATTTGAGTTAATATTAAGAAACGCCATGGTGATATGCAATACATGTTAATGACTGATATATAGAGTAATTAAAAAAATCATTATTGCATTGAAACCTGAAAGCAGAGTATATTATGTGGAGTTGTTAATAAGTCACATATGGCACATCTTAAATTTACAAACTAATAGAAACAAATCAAGCACAACATTTTAAGTACCGCATTTATAAATAAGTTCCTTCATACGCAAATATGAATAGAAACCTAAAATAATAAATAGTCATGGAGAAGCCCATGAGATATTACATACTGGAAAGATACATATTTAATCTATTAATTAGACAAATCTAATCTACAAGCAACTTCGAACTAATTAAAGAAGAACATTTGAATTTTCGTTAGAAATCGTTCTTAACAAACCGTAATTAATACGCTCGTAGTTTATGGTTGAAGTCTAAACCAAGTAATCTAGACATGGTGTTTGAAACGTAACTTAAACTTAATGATTGTACTACACACAATTCCTTCGATCCCTATTGGTAAAGGATCGAATATTCAATTATAAGGCGAAAGAATAATAGTTAGCAGTAGTATGAACAGCAAGCTTACATTAGTTTCTTTGTACAATATAAAAATTATATTTATTTCTAATATCTAACCGCAGAGATTATTAAGATGAGTTATAAAAGGGATGGGTTCTATAAAATTGAAATATTTTAAGGAATTTTTAAGAAAAGCCTATTTTATAACAGTTGCTATTTACAAATAAGCCAAGTTCAAATTTTATTAGTTTTACACTCCTAACCGCCATATTCACCAATGTCTGTTAAATTGCTAACAGAGAGATAAGTTATTCTGATCAACCTGTTAATGTCATATTTTGGCATCCGCCAGATAGCAGTAATAGAGCAAAATCGAACTGACAAAAGAAGTAACAGACTGATAACTTCAATCCAAATGTAAAAATTGTCGAAAGTTTTACGATTATTAACAGTGACATATAACATTTTAATTTTATATCTAGGGAGCAGTTAAATTGAATAGAATTTCACGAATTGTTCAATTCATCTTCCGAAGATAATGATAGAAATAGATATTAAATAGATAGAAATATTCCGAAATAGAATTAAAATAGGTTCAGATTGAAGAAAGATTCGGTTAGATGGAATAACCGCTAGAATACGGGTTATTATAGTTATTTACTTCTTCAAATATTCAAATTTGACATACAAAACTGTCTGTTTACTATCAATTACTTCAAATATCGTGGTGAATAACAAACATTGTTAACCGACTGTTAAATTTTATCAGACAGTTATCAGGTTGTTAAGCCGAAATTAGTAAATATGGGCTTAATTAATATAATTGTTAACATGTTGACTAGTTAATTTTCAAAAACTAATGTTATTTGGAAACGATAGATAAATATAAATAAAACTAAGTCAAAGAAATAGTAAATTTAGACGGTGTTATGCAATGATAAATCAAATCCGAATTTATAAAAAATATTAATCTTTTTGAAAAGCGTTTATTCCTAAAGCTCCCTACGGCGAAAAAATAGTTTTCTCACCAGAAATATTTTACAATTTCGTACAAAAAAGCCAACAGTTTCCAATTGCACAACACCATCCAAATGTATTCTAAACAAGACATTAAACTAAGGTGAATTCAACACCTTATTTTTAACAGAATTAATCAATATTAAATGTTATACGTATCTAATTAACAATTCGAGGTCCTTCATAAACTACATTAAAGCTTAAACTTAACATTTTAAAAAATATTGTCATTGATTTTTGATACAAGATTTAAGAAAACGGGCAAATTAATGATGGGATTAAAACCAATTACTCTTTCTGAATTTACCGAATAATTAATTTCGAAGAAAAATTAAAAATGACCATAAACTGTTCTAAATAATCAACAAACTTGTGGCAAGACATAAACTAGGAAGACCTTACTTTATACCAACCGAACAAACTATAAACCTAATGCATTTCGTGTCATGTTAATAAAAAAAACCAATATTTACTAAACGCCGAAGGTTTAAGCGGGTGTGGGAGTTCCAGGTTTCCTGGGCGTAGCCTCGTGTTGTCTTCTCAACCTACGACGTAACTCATTGGGAAACTTTTCGTAGCATTTTTTGCACACCGGCTTCAAATCGTATTCGTAGAATTTCGTCTTCTGGTTCATTTTTTGATCGCACACGGAACAGGCGAAATGGTGAACGCACCAAGCCTTGTTCATTGCAGTAAAAACTGTGGAAAGCAAGAACAGAAATGGGTATTTTAAAAACCGTTGTTTTAAAACTATAACAAGGTTTTGTAGAAAAAAACATGTCAATTGAACCGCCTGTAGTTACCCTAATGACATGATGAAAAAAAAAGTCTTTTAAAACCTGTTGTAGTAAAATAACTGAAATTGAACCCCCTGTAGTTATCCTAATAACATTTTTAAATTTTCTAATTAAAGTAAAGAGGGCATTTACACTATACAGTAACATTAACATCATCTTACCATCTCCTGCGATAACTTGGTTGCACAAAAAGCAAAGATTTCCAAAGAGTTGATGGTAATGAGTTTCACAGTAAGCCAACCCCTTTTTCTCGTAATGACGATGTCCAAAGAACGGTTTCTCGCATTTAGCGCAAACAAAATGCTAAAAATACAATAGTTTAATCAATTAATTTACTCAAAATTTAACAAATCATTTATTATTGACACTTAAAACCTACCTCAACGTGCCAATGTTTACCAAGAGCCGTCACGACGCGTTCCTCGATGGGTCTCCTGCAAGCTCCGCATATGGGAATGCCCATTTTGTCGTGACAACGCAGGCAATACAACTCGTTCATTTCGTTTTTGGCGAATCCCGAACGATTCCTGACCTCCCTAGCGCTGCTGTCCAATTCCGTACCGCAGGCGGTACAGTTGAAATGATAGGCATGGTACACCTCGCCTCTAAACTTCAACGGTTGGTCGTCGATTATGGCACTGAAAACGTGTTTTTCCAAAAGAACAAAATTCAAAGATAAATTATGCATTGAAAACTTACTGGCACTTGTGGCAAATGTACTTGCCCAAACCTCTGGCCTTCACTTTAGCGTTGCATTCGTGACATAAAGCCCTGCCGCCGTTTTTAATGAAACCAGTATCCGCCAATTCCAGCGAGCACATTTCGCATTTGAAACAAGACGGGTGCCAGCTGGCGTTCATGGCCTTGATTACCTGGAACATCCACCGAGTTTCGTTAATCGTACCAACTCGTTAATTTCAGTAACAATTCATTACCCTTCCGATGATGAATTCGCCGCATTTGCTGCAGCAGGGCGCGAACAGCACTTGAAAATCGTGTTCGCAGTACTTGCGGCCGTCGAATTCGTAGAAAACTCCATCTCTGAACTCGCGAAAGCATTGTGCACACCTACGTTTAAAAAATTATAAACATGAATGGATTAGTTGTAAGAATAAATACACTGTAGACATTTGAAAAAGCATTCCTTGTAGGAAATTTGAAGTTGTTTCGTAACATTCGAAAACGGAAGTTCTAGTTTTAAATGATTCTAGAGTGTTCGAAATGGATTTAGACAGTTCAAGATGATTCTGGGGCATTCTAAATGGTCCTAGACGGTTCTAAATGATTCTGTGGCGTTGTAAATGGTTCTAGACAATTCTAGATGATAATGGAGCGTTTTAAATGGTTCTGTAGCGTTCTAGAGAGTTCTAAATGATTCAGGCTGAGATTTTTTCACCCTACCCTTGAAGTTAGTTATTATGTGCATTCAATAGATTGGCTGGTTTAATGTCAAGTACGCTACTTGAGTTGTAATAACTTATTGTAAAAGACTCACACGAAGCATTGCTGATGCCACAGTTGGCCCGTGGAGTTGACGATTTTCTCCTGCGGTTCGAACCCTTCTCCGCACTTGGAGCACATCATCATGTCTCTCGACATGTTGTTCAGCCTGCAAATATTGAAATAATTAAACGATAATAGTTATACGATCATAGAGTTATTTATTAACAAATGAGCGTTATATAGTTAATAAATTAGTTGAAAGAAGCACTCTAATAATACCAACTAGTCTAAAGGCATGTAGTATATTGTAGGAAAGTGTATGAAGTTTTCTAAATAAAAAATGTATCTTGTTTGTGTCGTTTCATTCGTGTATTTGCCCGTTTATCTTGTTTGCATTTAAATAAAAAATGTATATGAAACGTTATGGAATCGAAAAAAAGTCGAGCGAATCTATTTAGAGAAATGGCAAGAATGTAATTCAAATAAAAATACCTGTTCGGACTCGAAAGAAAGAAATGCTTAGCCGGAATTTGCGGAGTACTAGGACCCAACGAAACGTCATCGTAGCTGTCGTACTTATAATACGAAGAATCTAATTCCTCTTTAGAATTGGCTCTTCGTTGTAGCAAACTACTTTGGGATATCGTCCCGATGTGGGGAACAACGGGAGACTGATCCTTAGTACTAGGCATGTTCTGACTGTCACACGATCGCCAAACTTTTACTGTACATTCGATACGTTCACCAAGTGCTGTTAATTAGCATTGTATTGTACTTTGCTTCCTTATGTTATCTCATATGCAAACATTCCGTATCTCTTATCTCGAATAACGCTGTTTACCTGGGTCGCTCGTCAGTAGTAATAGTTATTTTTAATTGCCATTGAAAATTTTTTGTGTGTACGTTATGATCACGATTTCATTTTACCAAACGTTCTGATGTGGTCATTATTCGAGAAAAACGCTATGACTGTTATATGCCGTGAACGTTGCTGTAATTTATTTATTCTAATGTGACGCAGAAAATACGAATGAATTAAGTGCCATTATTGAGATAATTAATGTATCCTCGGCGAGCAAAGGTATATCCCATTTATGTGTGTAACTAAAATATTGCATTGAGAAGTAATTATTTCATTACTGATTTTGTTTATTTACTGTTTACTGGTATTCTGTACTTTTGGGATAATAGTTTTATAAACTCGATTAAATCTAGTAGAGACAAGAATAGAATGTAATTTAATGAAACATTATGGAGTAATGAACTTAAATTAATTGTTCGACCAAAAAATAATGAGCTAGAAATCAATCATTTATTAAGCTATGCCTAGAACACATATGATGATTAATTAAAGCATTTCATCATTTTTCATGAGTTTTTTTAAAGGCATAAGGAGAGATTTCGATGAAGTTTTGTTTTGTGTAACTTAACATGATTCGACTATATGTTAAAATAAATCAGAACACAACTTTTATTTATATGCCAAAAAAATTAATTCTAGTTCAATTAATACTAGATAATTAGATGATTAATTATACTAAATAGTACCAACAACCTACTTGTATTCGAATAATATATAAACACTCCACTAAAATTAACTATTAGGGGTTAATACAAGTGCTTACGATAAATAAATTTTCTTGCTACTTTTGTGGCTTTTAGTAATGTTAAATAAAACTATGTAAATAGCAATGGGTTAACATTATATAAACTTTTTTTTAAGTTTATTTGGGGCTTACCCAGGCATAGGGGTCGGCGACATTTTAACTACTCTTCGAACAGAATAATATAAAGGTGGAAACTGAAAACGAAAGGATTGACTAATTGGTTACCAATTCAGAGATGCTTCGATAATTCGGATTTGGCAATGAATTTATAAATAGTATTTATTTAATTCCCAATAAGCTGGCTCATTTATGCTTTTACTTCTACTTATTAACTCGTTAATATTGAATGCTTGCGCATCAAACGAATCGAAATACTTTTTAACCGACTTTTATTTTACAGAAATCATGCAAAACCTTACCAATAATTAAAATATCTATATAAAAATCAAAATTGAAAATTAAATTACGAAATTTCACACACCCAATTATTTGTGGTCAAATCCAATTGTCAACGTCTACGTCAATTTTTGACGGATCATATTCGTTCGGTTTGGTTTTATTTCTTTTTAAATACAGTGAAACCTAACGTAAGACAGGGATAGAGAATAAAATGTATCAAGTGAAAGTGATTGAGTTGACCTCAAATAAACTAACCAATCACAACAAATGTGACCATTTTAAGAAAACGCTAAGGTGTTTTTGTTTTATTTGTTTTGAAATTGTTTGGAGGACGTAAAATAATGAGTTATACTTTAGAAAATTGAAAATTTAAAAAAAAAATGGTTTGTTTATTGAATTTCGGTCACATTGAGATGTTTTTCACGTAATAATTCTTCTCTTTTTTTAATACCAGTACGAAAATTACTAGTACCTTATGTTATAAAAGGACAAGCAGGACAAAAAAGACAATTTTTTGAAGTGTACATGGGATTCCCGCATAAGCAATAACCACAAATAACACACTATTATACCTCAAAAAGTATTACCTAGGTATAGGGAATGTTTAATAAAAATGAAAGTACTTCAAAAATCTGGTACGCTAAAAAAGAGATAAATTAAATGTTTGAATAAAAACAGGGTGTTCCATTTAAAAAAGTATAAGTTTTGTCTACCACGAAAAAACGTGACACTGTGTATAAATGTAATTAATTTTAAACTGTGCAGCTTAAAAAGATCTACAACTTTTGTAATGAGGTTTTTTTGATATCTTCTACAATAACTGATATATTGAGCTTTTCCATACTAATGTGCCACCCTGTATAACTAAAAATTATACTTATGTAAAAAAATTACCTTGACGCATCTGTTGTTACTAATATTATTAATCTTCCTTCATATTTATGTTTTCTTTAATAAAATATAATGGCGGTAAGATGGTTATAATTGGGGCGAAATAAAGCCATTATTGTTCCATGATTTATTTATGTTCTACACAAATAGTTTGAAAAAATACACATAATCGACATCGACACCAAAAATTATTATTAGTAGTATCAGAGAGGGAAAATTTGTTTTTTTTTTCGTGATGTTCCAACACACTGTCTCATAAAAAAATTAATATTTCAAGATAATTACCATGTAAATATAATTTCATTTTACTAAAAACAATGACGCAGTTTACAGAAAAATATTGTAAAAAACTACATTTATAGCACTTAAAACATTTAGAACGTTTTCACACGGTGCAATATATTGCAGTGCAGCAAATTGTAATAAATTGCTGCAATATTGCATTGCAGTTAAAATGTAAACGTTCAAATGCGTAGTTTTCTCACGTATGCGATTCGATAATTTCTATTAACGCTTGTATAAAAACTACAATGGAATATATTGCATTGTGTGAAAACACTCTAAGTTGTTTCTTTTTTGGAAGTACTAAAAAGAAAATATTTTTTTCTGTAAACCACACACACGTTTCAGTACAACTCATTGCATGGCGAGTGTGTTTAACAAAAATTATGTAACAAAAATAAAATAATTAAAAATGACTAGGACTTCATATAGGACTACTATAAATAAATACCGACAAATTTTGTTTTCCTAACGAAAATCAATCAACAAATAGACACGATATACACTAACCAATGCAGTTACTCGAATTTTCCGTTGAAACGAAAACAAAATAGAAACATATAAATTCGAAAGTAAGTAAAATTTTTACAAGCACAATAAATAAAATATACCTTAATTTATGTTTGTAAGTACGTTTTCATGCATGAAACAGCGTCCGCACATTATGAAACAATTTAAAAAAATATATATCACTTCACAAGCAATATTCTAATAAGTAAAACAAATGGACCAAATCCAATTATATCAAATCAAATACTTCCGTAAAACATGACAATTTTCAAGTACAACTTACAATTATTAAATTATATTATGATAAATATTCTAATAAAACTTGTAAAAAACTTATAAATCCGTCATTTCATTATTTCTATTAGTTTTTAAATGAATCGTTAAAATCATTCTCAGAAACGTTTTCTTTATTATTTTTCTCATCTAATTATATTAATAAAAAATAAATTAACGAATGTTCAGAGGACAAGAGCTTTCAAAATGTTTCATAGCATGCCATGTAACAGTTTTATTGGATTATTGCATTCGAAAAAGATCATTGACATGTAGCTAAATCCTTATCAACTGTTGGAGCAAATTAGAGGGTAACACACCTTCTATTTTTTCGTACAAATAATAAATCGGCATCGACATCCAACTGACGACGGATTTGGCGAAAATTCCCATCAGATCGGGATATTGGTGCGTCAAGAGTGCCAGCAGGGCCGTGAACGAACACAGACCGGCCGTGAAAATGATAAAAAATGGCAATTCTTTCTTCGGATAGACGGAGACTTCGTGGAAGGCCGGCAACAGTTCCCTATCGGCGCATTCCGTGCACGTCGGGTAAGGGTAGAACAAATGACCCCTTTCCAAAGGATATGGAAGCATTCTGGAATAATTAAAATATTTTAAAGTTTCGCTAATACAGGGTGTTCCGTAAAATAGACGGAGATATTTTAGAGGGTGATTTCTCGTTACAAAATATAAAAAAGGTTTTTATAAACATGGGTGCGAAAATGCGCAGTATGCAAGATACAGGATAGTAAACAAAAAAAGTACAGGGTGATAATTAAAATAACTTCTTATTACTCCATTTATTTATGAAGTACGTACGGAGTTTGAACTGAATATGTTTGAAGAAAAAAATAGTACGCCAGTGCTTTTTCTAAAAAATAACATCATTTTTAAAATCCTCATTTATTTTGGAGCAAATTCGGTCCAAACTTTACGACGCAGCATTTTCGCGTAAAAAAATAAAAACCAAAACAAATTTTTCCCAAGTTCATTGAGACTGCTTTTGATATTTTATTGAAATTTGTTAGGCACCCCGCCCACCATGCATGGAAGGTTTTTTTCATTTTTGCAATCAAACTTTGATTATAAGAAGGCATTAATAGCAGCATTCATAATCTTTCTAATCAACTAAATATACAGGATGTTCCTAAAAGGTTGGGACATGGCTTAAATACAAGAAGCCTTCATTCTGTCATTCTGGCCCAATATCAAAAAATCTCTCTTTTATTTTTAACTTTAACACGCTAGAAGACTGGGATACAGGTAAGTTATCTTAAATCATCTTATTTTCGTCTTACAAGTCTGTAATTAAGCCATATGTCTCAAACTTTCCGAGACACCCTGCACATATAGAAAGCCACTCGTACCTAAACGTTCCCTCCCACGTGCAATGCAACAGATTTAGCGCCCCTTCGACCGCCTTCCAATGAGAAAGATGAGAGAAAGCGTACGCCAACGCTTCGGAATCGCCCCGTTTGATAACGTGCTCGGGCGGCAAAATCAACGGTTTCATCTCGAGGAGGTACTTGGGCACGTGCGGATTGAACTCGACCGCCCTGTGTATGGCCTCGACGGCGGCCATCTCGGCCGTGTTCAAGCCCCGTTTGCTGGCCACGTCCGGCGAAAATTTATCGGCGACGATGCGGGCCTTCAACAGGGCGGCCGTGTAGCAAATCATCGCCGACTTCGGCAGGGATATGTCGTCGTATCGGGCCAGGACCGCTTGCACGTCGGCGTACGCCTGCATCTCGAGCAGCGCCTCGATGAGGTTCTCGTGTATGTTGAGCACGTTCATGATGGGCGGCACTTCTTTCGTTAGATCCCTGAACATCTTCACCGCCTCTTTGAGCTTCCCTAATTTTCTGGCGCACATCGCCAGGCGTCGTTTGATGTAGATTAACACGTTTGTGTCTCGTCGGTGCTGGGCTTCCATTAGACTTCCTTGGTGCTAAAAATTCGATTATTATTTCGGTTTATTGGATGCGAATGAGACTTGTAACGCACCTGCAACGCTTGTGATTTTCTGTAATTAGTCTCGGCGACTTTGAGGGCTTGTTTCAATATTTTCTCGGCTTCCGTTATTGTCGTGGCTTCTTCCTCTGCGAGTAGTATGTAAGCCGGTGCACAATCCGGGTTTTTTTCGAGGGCGTTGTGAGCGGCTTTGAGACGTACGGTGGGATTCCTCTCCCGCCAAGCCGTCTGCATGATTTCGTATTCCGCCTTGCCCGCGTCGGCCTCGCACGTGAAGAACGTCTGGTGATCTTGGGCCGATAAATTCATATCGTAATAGGTCAAAGGTTCTTTGTTCGTGGCCCAGTAAAACCGCTGGTACTCGGCGCCCCTGTATAAATTTAAAGGGTTCCTCCAGACTTTGCATTCTGGCACCTGGGGCTGGACATTTGTACTGTTTCCGTTGTTTGTGTTGCTGTTCTCGCCGTAATCGCCGCTAATCCACGGGCTAATGTGGTTTATAGAGACTTGTTCGATAAAAGAGGTTCCATATTTTCGAAAATACCACCATTCGAATATCAATATAAGACCGGAGATAAGGGAAGAAGTACCTGTCAGTGCGACGTAGAATTTAGGAGTTAATGTACTCAAAAACATAGTAGAATCCCACATTTTGGATCCGAAATTTTAGTTGTTTATTGTAAACTGTACCATTCATAAATGTTTTTAATTAATTTTGATTTTCTAATCAATTTTTCTTTCGTCTCTATTGAATTGACAGTTTTGACACTTTAACGTCAAAGTCTTCACAAACAAAACGATTCAGTTTCACCCCCCGATTCTGATTCTACCTGAGCAGTAAAATGAACACTATACTATCTTTCCTTTTTCAATACGTACATTTATATAACTTTCTTTTTTCAATAAAACTAATTTTCGTACAAACTAACATTTTAAAAATTTAATTATCATAAGAATCCACAGATTTTTAAATAAATTTAATGAAATTGATGAAATGAGAAAATTTAATATATGTGTTTATTAGGTATATTCAACAAAACGTACATATCCACATAAACATCCACATCATTAGCAAGGTTATGTCATTAAACGTCACCTGCAAATCCACATAAGCTTTTCCATGTAGATAAATTGAAGATATCCAAATTATGATTCTCAATATAATTTAGAAATCAATTATACTATTGAGAAAACTATTTAAACTAAGCCATACAATACAATAATAATGAAGGGTCTACTTGTAGTACTATTAAGTTTAGGACTTGTGCAATACACACTAACGAATGAATTAACTTTTGAATTGCCGGATAGTGCCAAAGAATGCTTTTACGAAGAAATTCAAAAGAATACTAGTTGTGTTTTGGAATTTCAAGTAAGTAAGAAATTCGAAAAACGTATTAAACTAACAGTTGCAACTTTTAGGTAGTCACCGGAGGCCAGTATGACGTCGACGTTTCCCTGGAAGATCCCAAAGGAAACGTATTGTATAAACAAGTTAGAATGCAGTTCGATTCCCATAGTTTCGTAGCACAAACGTACGGTATATACAAAGTTTGCTTCAGCAATGAATTCTCTACGTTTTCCCATAAACTCGTATACATGGATTTCCAAGTTGGGGACGAACAGCCATTGCCTGGCATTGGCGAACACGCCACTGTACTAACACAGGTAATTTAATTCGAATAATTTAGATTCTCTACTTTGCAAGAGATTCAATAGAAGGTATTCATTGATTTTCCTGTTGTGGGTAATGAAAAGAGTTTAAAATAAATTATAATAAAATTATACTGGTAGAAGTACTAATGTAGCCTAATATAGTTGAACTATTCAGAAATTAAGGACATTTCTTTTGAAAAAACATATGAGTGTGCTTGAAAGTCATTAACTAAAATTTTAATATATTTTTAATGATCTTGAAAATTGCAGTTCTTTTGAAAATTGCAGTGCCGGTCTACCATAATATTTGAGGTCTACCTAATGCTTTCTTGGTTCATTATGCTAATAAGGGGCTGATTCTTGGGCCCATTTTAAGAAATAAAATTTCATATGAACTTATGTCCTAAATTTCTTAACTTTTGAGATACCGGGTGGTAAAAGTTTCAAGAAAAATCTTTTTTATAATATTTTCAGCAGTGGCGTCCGTACGGGTTTTGCGGTTTTGCGTAAAATTAATTTACGGTCTTCATTTCCTTTTTTGTGTATTGTATAATTTTTTAATAATGAAATGGTGTTTTAGATGGAATCGTCTGCTCAGGAAATTCACAAATCTCTTAGTACAATATTGGATTATCAGACTCATCATCGTCTGAGAGAGGCGCAAGGTAGAAAACGTGCAGAGGAATTGAACGAACGTGTGTTGTGGTGGTCAATTATGGAAACTTTGGCCGTTATAACTTGCGCTTTTGCACAAGTGTTTGTTTTAAAGAACTTTTTCACTGATAAGAAGCCTTACACTCAGTTTAAATAAATTCGATCGGCGTTATGGTCTTTAATACATGTATTTTAAACGGTTTTTGGAAGATAAATTACACCTTGAAAGTACAACGTAAATAAGATTTTCGACACAGTTCCTGTTTTGCTAATTTTTGTAATTTTATATGTATTAAAGACGGTTAATATTGAGTGAAACATCCGCTGTGTAGATAAAACTTTTAGATTGAAATTTTACATTGTACATAACACGGACGATTTTGTCACTAAATTTTTTCTTGCTGCAGAACATAAATTATCCCATTCCATTCTCGTTATTTTTGTTTTGAAAAATAATTTATAATTTAATAAAATGACTATAAAAATAGTACAGTAATTTGTTATTCGTTAAGAGATAATTCCTACGAAATCGACTAACTTGAAAAATATATTGCACAATACTGGACTAGATAAAAATTATTGTCGTGTATTAATAATAGGAGGTCCCAATAAAAAGTGAGCTAATAATTTTTAAATTCCTAATCATAAAAACAAGAGTTTTTCGCAGATTATATTTTATTTTGCTACTTTTTGTTACAGTGACACAAAAATTTTGTATCGCCTTTACAGGGTGTTTCATAAAAATCCCCTTTTAAATTCACATTAACCAAATTTTATGAAATAGGTCATCTTCCTCTGTAGAATATGTACAAATACATTTTTGAAAAGTAGATCTTTCAAAATACCTCTACATATACGGGTTGTTCCATTAAAATATTGGTTACTGTGAATTTAAAAGAGATTTTAATAAAACACCCTGTATTGGTAATGTATAATTTCTGTAACACTGTAACAAAACTTAAAACCGCATGTTTTTTGATTAGGCGTTTCAAAATTATAAAGCTCATTAAATGGGCTACTTGAGACACCCTGTACATTGTGGGGCATAACTAGATAACCATTATTTCCGAGTGAAAAAAAGTTTCCTAATATTCTATAAAGGTGGTATACGTTTTACAGAAAATAAAACCTCCATAAAAGTTTCAAAAATCAAAAATTTATTCCAATAACCAGTGAACAAAGTTCAGATCTAATTACAGTGGTTACTTATAATAATAATCAGCCTTTGTCACCTACCTAAATCACCGAGTCTTAAAATAAAATGAAACAAGCCGTTAAGCAGTCTACGGTACGGTAAAATACTGTTTTCAAAGAAACGTCTTGCACGCTAGTGAAAAATCAAAAATAAAATGTACAAAAACCAACTGCTACGAGATCAATATTTTTCAATAACATTTCTAAAATAAATAAATCGGATTAATCAACATTTTAACCCAACTTTACCTGAACTTGCGGCCAACGAATAAAATAAAACGGCCTACAAATAAACCGAATGTTATTCAAAGTAATCAAAAACACAGCATCAGATAGGATTAAAAAAACCGGAGGGTTCAAAAAAATAAATCTAAGATACATTTTCCTTTCAAAATCAAATTATTTTCATGAAGCATCCCTAAACACGTCAGATTTTTTCATACTACGAACATTTAACGATTCCTTTTGTAAATTCACTCGTAAAATACACAAAGGAAGCGCGGCAATTTTAATTTCTGATTAATCAAACGAAAATCTATGAATTCAACACACGCGATTTTCTATTTCGACATTAAATTTAACATTTACATGAAACATGATAGTTTGTCGTATCGGTAGAGAGAAATAGGATTACCTTTGACTTTTCACACATCAATTTTCAATTAAAATTAACAGTAAATTGCAGTTAAGTAACAAGCACAATCAACACCGATTTTACACTTAGAGATTTTAAAGACTGCTTCTATCGAATCGAAGAAACTAAAAAAATTAGAATCGAATTCCGCATCCATCAAAAATATAGGTACTAATATAATTGAGAAAGTGAAAAATTGAATGTTAAATCATGAATCCTCAAACCAGAATGGCGTCGGATTATCTCATTGAATAAACTTTTAAAAAAATAAATATACCAAACATTTTGGTACAACGCAAAACAAAAACAATTAGGCTTGTCCCAAACAAAAATAAAGAACCCTTCCGGACTTTGAATGTGTCCAGAACTCGTCCCGTACTCTTGCTGGAACAAACCTAGTATCACCAAGATTGCCAAATTGTTGCATCGAATATAAATATACATAAAAATTGCACGCTTGGTATGGATAGTTGAGACAATATTAAATCCAACCAAGTTTAACAGATGTTTTATCGTTAAAAAAACCATCCCGCTTTTAAAACCTAATTACAAAATACAATAATTTAAGTAATCGTTTTCAGCATGATAAAATTTAATAACTCGTTAATTTTTTTTTCTAAAAAAAGGACATTTTTAACAATAGATCAACTGTCAGCAACAATTTGATAGTAAAAAAAATATACATATTTTACGGCATGCATTCCATAATGGCGATTTTGTCAAATTTAAAATTGAGCCACGAAGGCGCGCAAAACTGGGTCTCGATATTCTCCTCGTTCGTGAACAGTTGCCTTTTGTAGTGATTGCTCTGCTTCTTGTCCGGCCGCTTCTTGATATGCTTCACATTGTCGGTATCAGCTTTTTGCACTGATTTTGGTCTACAAAAAAAAGAAAATACTTAATTTAGTAAAAATAATAAAAACAAATTTAAAAAATAATAAATAAAACGAGCGAGATCTGCTTGGATCTAAGATATAGAGCCTATTCAGTAAACCACCATAGCACAATCGCTACTACGGGGTATTAATTAATTGAGTGCCGATACATCAGAATGTGAATATTTGTATGATTTTAAGAAGAACCTAGGTTTACCAGGGTAAAGTGCAAAATACCCAAGAAGCATGGGGAGGGTAAGTTGCGAAAAGTTTTTGAGTTTCTTGGATTCCCGTAATGCCACGGGAAATCCACCCTACCTTACCCGCATTTCGTTCTTTACCCGGGTAAACCTAGGTTTAGTCGTTTATCTAACCACCCATAACAAATCCAGTAAACCAATTTAATTTTCATAAAATGAAGTGTCTCACCTGCTTTTCGAATTTACTGAATCATTTTCGCAGAAACTAGCAGACTTGTATCTTTGCCTAGGATAATTTGTACTGCTATGAAGATTACAGAAATGCTTCAGTCTTTTGACAAATGGCAAAACCATGAAAAATGCGTTCGCATTCATTCCGATTTTGGTTTTCGGCGTGGAATCTTTCTTGTTCGTCGGCAAATCGGACACCGCAAACCAATTGCACGATTTTATTTCACCTCGAGTTTTTGGACAGAATTTCGTCGTCATAGGAATATTTTTTATTATGTACAACCTGAAAATAAAAAAAATCGTTTATTATGTATCTAAAAAAACGTTAAAATTTCGATAGTTTTGAACCGAAAAGCCAATTTACCTGACTAGATGATCGTTTATGGTAGACTCGAAATACTCGTCTCGATTCAAATGATTACTTATATCGAAACCGGTTTCTTCTAGCACCTCTCTGATAGCGCAATGGGCGGGATCCTCCTCTTCGTTGACTTTACCTTTGGGAAAACTCCACGACAATTTGGCCCAGTAGCTTTGGACTAGCAGCACGTGGGACAGGTTCTCGGATAAAATAATGGCCCCGTACGTGGGCACGCTCAATTTGTATTCCTTCCATTCCTCGAGGATCTCGTGGAGCTTGTGATTTTCGCTTTTCAAATACGGAATATGCTGAAAAATACAAGAGGAATATTCTATTATATTCGATTTTTTGGAATGTGGCTGAACGGATTAAAGTACATGTCATAGGGCAGCTGTAGAACTACCAAGGAGTAGGTTAAAAAAGATAACAGGACTCCTAATCAGGGCATTGTTATCTTGGAAACACATATAACCTAGTAACCTTTGCAGGGGCTGATGAAACCTCATCCATTGAGAAGAACTGAAGTCCTTCATCTAGGGACTCAGTTTCTTGTATATGTAAGCAGCAGGAATAACATAATGAGCCTCAGTGCCAGAACTTTGGCTTGAACCTATCTCAGTCAAGGTTAGCCTGCGCCTTTAGTAACAGTAGTAGATATTGTTTTGGTATTGAACTCACCTGAAATACATGGGCAGCAAATTCGTAAATACTGCATGCTTTTAGACGGCTGTCGTTGCTAACGTAGAAATCCAGATAGAACCAATGGGCCAGTTCGATTTGGAAACATATTCTTATCAAGTTCTGCTTAGCAGATTCTGGCACATTTATCAAGAACCTCCTGTAAATGGAACGAATCTTTATTAGGACAAGCTCGTTAGAAATCAAATAAGAGATCACGAAATTGTTATTTTGAATGCCATACAAATTCGAGAATTTTGAGACACATTTTTTGGACAATTTATGATTAATGGCGTGGCTATGATTTTTGAAAAATAATGTCCCTAAAACCTAGACCAAACTTTAAAGGTAATTTCAATTAGTTTTCCTAAAAAAATAATTATATGCAAATTCCTTGTTATAGGTGAAAAAAATAGATGTTTGTTCATCGCTTTGAAACCAATATGTACTTATTATGAACATTATTTAGCAACACATATGTTGCAGAAACTAATTAAGTATGAAAACAAAAAATTAGCAATAACATCTCAAAATTGAGATAAAATTTATAAATATCTTTTGGAACTGTATTTTTAGGTTATTGTGATACAATATTAAAAATAAAGATAAACATCTTACAATTGGTGCATAAAAACAAAGAATTAAATATAGATTTCGACTTACGTTAGAAGGTCATTGAGAATATCAATCGGAATCGAGTGTTTTACGGTCCGCAGCTCCACGTTTTCTACTTCACCCATTTCTTTTTATCACAATTTAATCAAATCATCAACAACAAATAAAGAAAACTCAAAAATATTACGTAAAACTCATCGAAAAGTACTTTTGCGTTTCACTTCCAACAATCACTTTCGACATCTTGTTTTATTATGAAGTTGAAGTTGAAGGAAGAAGGAACGTTGATATAGAGAAAATTAATGTGCCGAAGAGAGATGGTCGATCAAGGCATCGACGAATAGGAAACACGCAATTTTGGTACTGTAGCGATGAGCGAATAAATTTGCGCACGATCTGTCAAATGTCTAAACGAAGCGATTTCATTGGCTCCGATATTGCATTGGAGAGGGAGCTTCTATGATCAACAGTCTTATGCCAAGCCAAAGTTGTCATAATTGTCAACCGATGACATTTCACTGCTTTTGTTATTCAAATAATATTTATTGCCGATAATTAATTACTTTTGTATGAATTCTTCAACAAAATAGGTTAACATAACAATGATAAAGTTATATTTGTGATATAATCGGTATACGCGAAGAAATTCGAAACCAGAGGTTAGTTCACGATAGCGTAATATTAGCCACTATCGAATTAACAGAGAACGTGAACTCTCATTGCAAAGCGAAGAAAAAATTAAAAATTGTTGGGTTTAGGTTGAGTTGAGTGAGGTGTGTGGAGGCTGCCGAGAGAACAGAATTTGTAGAATACGTGTATCTTTAAACAAAAATGGCTGCCAATTTAACGCAAGAACAGGAAAATGTAAGTATTTGATTGTTTACATTCTATATATTTTACAACAGTCGAGTTGGACGTACAGGAAATAGGCGACTGTTTTCATTACGCACGAATTTCGTTTGTCCTAATCCAATTTTCATTTAAAAACCCACCTTATTTTCCAGAGGATATTTTGGTGTATACAGAATTTGTTTTTATTTTTCCCTTTGAAACAAAAAACCACTATAAACACTTGTAAATCCCTGTCCGGAATAAGAGAGGTTTTTTTTTTGGTTTATCTGCTTCATTTATGAATAAACTGGAATTTTAATGTTTAATTTAATTGGAAAACCCAAATAGAATGATTAAATCCCACAAATCTGTCTTTTGGAAGGACAAGTACAGGTTAAAAGCAATTAACTAAGCATTATTTACTAATAATCTTTACCTGGTAAATTTAATAATAGGTATTATAGTTAATAGCTACTTCCATTTAATATATTTTATTATCTTGTATTTTGTTTTATTTGCAATTTATTTTTATAGTATTAGAGCTAACTTGATAGCATGATAAAAATATGTATTTGCTGTATTTCTATTACTGATTGAAATATGTTTTATTCTTTTAAATAATTAAATGTTTTCTTATTCTTATTAAGATTTTTCAATGGTAGAGTGATTCAATCATATACAGGGTGTTTCAACTAAGCAGAACTCACAATATAATCTGTATTATATTCATTCTAAAATAATTCAAAAACTGAAATTTGGAAAAATGAAGCAAAAATGTTACTTGTATTTTTCTCTATGAATTTGGTTTTAAAAACATACATTATTGTTCTGAGAAGATAAAGAACTTGTAATATTCTCAATTACTCTTAATTAATAACCTAAATACTTAGTCCTGGTTTGTGTCAATTTTCAACAGTCTACTGTAGTTCAATGTTTCAAAGCAATCAGGCAATTCAATTTTATAATAACCTGTTTATATGGAATTTGTAACTTTACGAGAATTATCCTGGAAAAGTAGTTTTATTTAATATTTCTATTTAAAAGTCCTTCACGGCGCCTTTAAATTCCAATACACATAAATAACATATTTGCAATATGATTATTTAGAGATATGTTTCAAAATTTAAGGACAAACATTTTGTAATAGTTATCTTTTCAATAATTTAGCGTTTCTTAGAATTTTCCAACAATCATTTTTATCTATTGCTGCTTAATATTGCTCGAAACATCCTGGCTAAAACACACAAATGATTAAAACCGTGTGGTGATTTATATGCGAATACTTCCTTTTTTTGCACGAAATATCTGAATATTATCAATTATTTCGACTTTTCATCGACAGTTAATATAGTTTAAGAACAATAATGAAATGTACGTGTTACATGTCCAATGAATCAGATGGAGAAGTGCCTGAAACGTGGGTAAGAAGAGAATCTATACACATCTCAATTAGATTATTATATTCCTTAAAATTAAAAAAAAATCTCATCAGCGTCTCAGTTCCTCGAGAATATTAATTTTGGTCAGGGACCTTCTCGGATTGTTTCGAGCAGAAACTATTTTTAATTTTCCTTCGAGTCTTTTTCCTTTTCATCTTTTTCATTTCGACGAGACGAAAGGCATGCCCTCAACATCTCCGCAAATAGTTTTCTATTTAGGTCATGCATTTAGCATTCAATTTTCCTTCGGTATTCATAGGAGAAGCCTATAGTAAATATTTTTTGTCGCTGTAACTCATGTCCTATTCAAAGGCAAAGACGTGACGCCGTATAAAAGCGGACGGAATCGTTAGGGGGAGTCCTTGCTCCATATTTCTTAAGGTATATCTATTTAAAGTTAAAGTTCATTATATACAGGGTGTTTAGCTTATGATTGAAGCCTTAACAAAAAGTTAAGACGGTCTTTATTCATACTTTCAAACCTGGAGCACAAATTAATTTTTTTTGTCGAATTAAAGGTGAACTTGATCTCCCGAATTCAAAATCAATATACCTTAAATTAGCTTTGATTTGGCGCCTGTTAGTTTCAATATCGGTTAGATAAAGTATCATCGATTCTCTATTTTTAGCAACGCAGACGGGCCTACGTATTTTGCACATATTGCACGCGGGCCTGCGAAATTAATTCATCGAAATTTAACTGAAATTGATTTTCATCGTCCTGACACCTGCGGTTAATTGCGATACGCTCGCCGTGAACGAATTGAAGCGAAGTCTTTTCTCGGTAATTTTTGCGCGTATTCATTCATGGAAAAAGGAAAACGGTTAGAGCGAATTTGAATTTTTTTTGTGAATTACAATGTTTGTAAAAAACGGTTATTTATATAATGGAATTTCGAAATTATTATTAATGGTATTTGAGTAGTTTATCAGTTTTTATCATCATACTATTTTTTTCGGAGCGCATTTTTTTGTATGAAAATACTTACTCAATGAATGTTTATACCTACTTTCTTTTGAATATTAAAACCGATTTCATTAATCATTAATCTTCAATCATAGTGAATTGTAAAGGATTATAATTCTATTGTTAACGCATTGATTAATCAAGTCTCATGGAAACCGATAAATTTCCAAAAATAGCTATTTAAATTTGCAATTTTAAAAGTTAATCCTTTCCTGTAATTACCGATGGCTGTGAGAGAATTCGGAAAATGATCATTGAATGAAACATCGTCTGGAATCGGTACGGGAGGACAATACATTGTTATTATTGGAGCCTTTCCAAAATTGTAACAGTAAAAATGTTAAGAAAGGAACTAAATGCCATGGAAATGACCTAGGCCTAAAAATGTTTACATTGGACTTCCTTCAGAAATTTGGGCAAGCGTTGTTATAACATACAGATGGAACGCTCTCTCAATGAATTTATGTATTTTTATATGTGAATGTTCAACCAATTTCAAATTACAGGAAGTCGTAAAAGATTCTAATTTTATTGCTAACGATTTTTGGTCTGTCGTCAATTGTGCGATTTCATCCAGGTAAACTTCCAAAAATTTTGAATTCTTATCGAATATATTCATTCACCTGTTAACAATTTCCTTTTAGGTAGCAAAAATGCTTTTTATAAACATTTTTATAAAAATTTCATCGGAACTTCGAATATGATTTAAAAATTGTTTCCACATTTCATCTCCCGGCAGATTTTACTTCCAATCTAAAGGTGTCGTTTATTTTTACAGGGCCTAACGCAGCTGTAAATAGAAGTTTCCGGTTATTTTAAAAACTTCCGTCGCGAGCACAGGGCCGGCCTGTTTGTTTTTCGATATTTAGTGCCGTGGTATAGTGCTTGTTTATCCAAACCCAATTTGGTAAAGGTGAAAATAAATGTCTAGATTCGTAAGGTAAATTCAAAATAACCCAAATAACACAAGAAATGTTATTTGGAAGAACCTAGGCATCCGCAAATAAATTTTATTTTACAGGAACATTTCTAAATTTAAAATTATGACTTAACATTAATTAATCCTTAATTATCTCCGTCATTTCAATGTTTCATCGAAATACTACGTATAAGCCATACATATCTCTTTTATTTGAAATATGTGTATTTCACTCGCCTTGATAAAAACGTTCTGTAAATTAAAAATCCACTATTACGATAAAAAGTACCCGGAAATTTGGAATAAAACGCAAAATGCCTATATTTTTTTCTTGAATCTCCTTCAAAATATGCTCCTTTTGAAGCAATATACATAGTCATCAGACGCCTTTTCCAATCATCAAAGAATTTTTATAGGACATTTTTGGTACGGCTTTAAGCTCCTTTTGCGAATTTTCTTTGATAGCATTTAAGGAGTCAAAACGGGAGTGGTAATAATTTGTGCTTGGGAAACAAAAAAAGTCAGACGAGGCTATATCTGGTGAGTAAGGTGGCTGTTCGATGGTACTTCATACGAATTAGCATGTCTGCATTCACCAGTTGGCGATATCGTTTTTGAAGAAAACTCAACTCTATCGGAACAAGCCGTGCCTCAATTTGCAGCATTTCTGATTGATTGAGCAAAATCAAACCAGCGGTTTAACGGGAGATGTTGAGGTCACATGCTACTTCTCTAATACTATAGCATGATGATTTTCGAACTCAATTTCCTTCATTTATTCGCCGATATCATTGGTTGAAGAGGTCGAAGACCGTCCGGAACGAGGCAAGTCTTGAGATCTCCCGACTGTCTTTAAAAGTTTGGTACCATTCGTAAATATGGGTTTTCGATAAAACAGAGTCATCTTAAGCATTTGCATCGATTCAGCCTAAGAAATTCCGCTCAAAACCCAAAATATAAGAGAAACTCTTTGTTCATTATTTTTGTCAATTGCAAAATTCGCAGAGCACTACTGAGATGAACTGATTCAATCAGCTGCTACAGCCAAACTGATTGAGAAATCTCCCTAATTTTTTGCATGCTAATTAACAACAGTATTACCTACGCACAGAAACTTCAAATAGTTGAAAATATTAAGTGCAGGTAATTTAAATCAGAATTTCCAGGTATCTACTTTTTTGTCAGAACGTTGATTAATGGAGCGTTGAACATAATTTGCAATCATTCGACTTTCAACTTATAGAAATGACGTAAAACACCCGCTTATCATTTAGGGTCATCATTTGAACCGGCGTCAGATCGAATTATGAAAGGGAAAATTGTGAGTGGAAGGAGCATAGGGACTGGCCGCGGGTTAACGTACCGTACATTCACTACTGAAATCTATAGGGACACCAGTGATGCATCTGATTTGTTTACACAAATTGGTTAAAGTAGCTGCTATCACGAAAGTCGCCGGCGCAGGAAGCGATAACTTACCCTTTTTATATTAATTGCTCGACTGCACTTTTTGATTGAATTACCTCTAATTAGCCGCGAGCTCTTAAGGGATATTACTGCGTTATACGTACTAATAGCGTAATCGGTTCATGTTAACGAAATAACAACACAAATTGCTTGTATAATTGTTCAAATTGCAATTATGCATTTACACGTTTCTTATTTTAAATGTTTACGCGCACGTTTTGCGAATAATTTGTCGAGAACAAGCGGAATAAAATCAACTTTTTTTTTGTTTTAAAATTAATTACGATTGCTAGTTGTATCTGTAGTGGAATAATTAATTTATTGCGTCAAAAAGTATTGAATTTATATTTGCAATACTTTAGGTAGATAAAAGCTTGAACTTAACTTGAAAGTTACTTGTTTACTTTTGCACAGAAATTTTATTACATACATATTTTTATTTTTAGGTATCAGCATCTCCTGTTTGAATTACATATTATTGTTTTCATTTTTATGTTGTTTTAATGTTAATTATCATGGAACCTTGAACGTAATTGATTTGATAAACAATGCCGTTTGTTTGGCATTTTTTAATAAAACCACCTTATCCTTTTTTATTTTGTTCTACATGAATTTCTCCGAAATGGCCGGATATTTCAATTTTTCCGTAGAACTTAATCTAATTATACATATTGCATTATTACATTTTGTATTTACATGTATTAATTTACTGTGTAGCACATTAGTATGGGAAAGCTCATTATATCTGTTATTGTAAAAGATATCAAAAAAACTTCATTACAAAAGTTGTAGATCTTTTTAAGCTGCATATATTAAAATTAGTTACATTTATATAATATTGTATCATATTAAACGAAGTGGTTTAAAATTTATGACCACTTTTCCACAAAAATTGTACTAAGTTTACAAAATGAACATTTTTCGTAAATTTTAATCATACCTACTGCTTACAGGGTGGATCCAAACGCAAAAGTAACATTTTTTCAGATATTTTAAATCGACCACCCCGCCTGTATTTCATATCATTACCAGGAAGTATTTTCATTCTTAGTTAACATCCCCTATACCTAGTTAATACACCTCTTTTGCGGTCTTTTCTGAATCTATCACTCGTCTTAATAGGGCGTAAATTTCCTCTCAAAATACTTTTCGTTTTGTTTCAGGCGACGAAGGAATTTATAGAAAAAGTGAACGCGAAGTACGGCCGGAAAATCGGCTCTATCTCGTGGTCGACGGCCGTGCGGTTCTTGTACGCGCGAAAATTCGACGTCGGCAGAGCCCTTGCTCTGTTCGATCAACACGAATTGACCAGACAACGCGAAGGCCTCAACCGTTTCGACCCCAAAAGCGAACCGCTTCGCTCAGAACTGCTCACAGGAAAATTTACAATATTGGTAAGTAATCTTCACGAACGGTATTACCTACCAAAACATCCCAACGTCCCGTATTCTGTCATAATAAAAAATAATGGTAGATAATCCCTTCCCTTCATTTATTAGACAAAATCAAATCATTATCTACAAAATATTTATATAGTGGTTTAGAGAAATTTAAAACCTAATGACTTCTTGTCTGGCTACTTGTTATTATTGTATTTATTTTTGAATAGATCGATCCATTTTCTATTGACAATTTTCAATATCTCATTTAAACTACATTTCATTCAAGTATTTTCAGAATCAAAATAATTCCCTTTCCTAACTGAACAATGAGAAATTTATTATTATGGGCTCTTATTAATTTGATGTTTATCATTCAGACTTTCTTTTATAGAATACTGAGAAAATTAAATCCTGTATTATCTGGCATTATATTTCCTCTAAATAGAGTAAATGGACTAACCAGGATAATGGCTCATTAATTATTTACGATTTTTCAAATATAAAAGGAAACATTTCTAGAGTTTTGTATTTTTCGACGAATACATTACCTTTCTGCTCGTGAGATGCGGAAAAGTTTGTATAAACTCGTAAATGTTTATGATATTTTCTCGGCATTTTTGCCAAGAAAATGTACGAAAAGACAGTAGTAAAAAACAATGTCACTGGTAATGATAGATGACGGTTCCCTACATGCCCCTGATGTGTTGAATCTTATGCGGGACACCCTGTATATGTTTTTCTCTTTTATAGTGATTTTAAACGTGACTTTCGATATTTCCTTTTTCATTAACTTCACGAATAGTTTTTGTAATATGTAGCATGTATGTAGGTGGTAAATACGCTTGAAAATCATCCACATCTACATGAAATTTTGGTAAAGGTCAAATGAATATTTTATTAAACATTTTATATTTTCATAACTAAATTATTTTTTCATAAATTCAAATAACTGTCCGGTTTTCATTGAAGAGACCTTCTAATTATAGGCAACCCACATTACTTGCATTAATTTGGAATAGTGGTATCTTCATTAAAATGATTTTATTAGATAATACAGTTGTTATTTTTATGCCTTTAAAACAAAGAAAAAGTTTCTTCCAGGACAATCTTCAAAACTCTTACTTGACATTCTTGAAAGAATTAAGGATTGAAAGACATACAGGATTTCTTCATTAGGGATTTCTCCATAAATGATATTTTCATAAATGATTTTTTCATAAAGGATTTTTTTCATAAAGGATTTTTTTCATAAAAGATTTCTTCGTTAAGAATATCTTGACAGAGGATTCTTTCATAGAGGATTCCTTCGTAGATGATTCTTCGCTGATAATTTCTTGATGGAGGATTTCTTCATAGACCACTCTTTCATAGAGGATTCCTTCTCAGAGGATTTTTTCAAAAAGGATTCCTTCGTTGAGGATTTCTTGATAGAGGATTCTTTCATGAAACATTCCTTCATAAAGAATACCATACCTATCCTTCATAAAGGATACCTATTTGAATAAATACTCTTATTTTATATAGGTATCTAGAAAAAATCAGTTAACATTCCCTAGAAGAACTCTCATCTAGGCAAAACAAGTTGTAATTAGTTATGAATTAGATTATTGCGATTTAATATCGTTTTTTTTTTTGTTTTTTTTTTCAGCCAAAACGAGACTCTACAGATGCTGCCATAGCTGTGTTCACCGCTCACAAACATTTACCCGCGAACAGTACGCACCAAACGACTCTACAGGGTGTAGTCTACCAGCTGGATTGCGCTTTACAAAACCATCTGACACAAAGGGCTGGTATAGTTTTTATATACGATATGTCCAATTCTAAATATTCCAATTTCGACTACGACTTGTCGCAGAAAATCCTCACGCTTTTGAAGGTAAGTGAGCTTTTTTACATAAATTATACGCGAGCTTGACTGTTTTTCTAATATCTCAATTTACGACTACGTCATTCTCAATCTTGCTGGTCATAGTGTTTCTTAACGATTTAATAAATTCGTTTAAATTCATTATGTATTAGCTAATATCTTTTTGTGTTCGCCCAACCATCCTCGAGACCATGTTATATTGTCGGGGTGCAAGCGTATTGATCAAAAGAACAATTAATAAAATTAATCCCGTGTGCGTGGACCGACTGCTGACTATCTAATTATTGGCCTGAAAGTGCATCTAATTTGTTAATTTGATTTTAATTGAATTTGGTTTCTTTTTTGAAAATGCGCTGTGTCATCTTTCCCATATAATCATGGGATAATTCTAGCCATACATCTAGCTGATATATCCATAGTATACCATGGTTTTTAATATAAGGATGTAGACTAGTTTTCTACAACCTGAAAAACACAAACAAAACTGAAATAAACATAAAACTCCATTCAACCGTCTTCAAAAAGTTTGCGAAATGTTTGAGTTTTGTTTTCATCGAGTTTAAGTTAGGTTTCTGTTTGTCCGTTTAATGGAAAACCGTCATTAGAAGCCTAGTTTGTGGCAAATTTTGGTACAATGAAAGGTTTTGTTTACCTCGAGCACGGCCTCAAGTATTTTTATCTTCTTTAAAATTCCGGTACTGAACAATTATATAATTCTTGCGATTAAAGATCTTTAATACAGACCAGTGAATTCGCGCTTTTGTGACTCATCCACGCAAATCTCCACAAAAAAGATAAAGATAGGTTTCGCAAGGAAGCATGCGATAACAATCGTTAATATAGCATTGACTAATTATTATAATCTCGCTCGTTTCGGTACATCGGATCGGTCAGTTTATATTTTTCGAAGGAAAACATTCGCGAAGAAAGTCGACTCGCAAAAATTATAGTCATTTGATGGGATAACCTTTGATTTCGGTATAACAGGTGAAATTTTTTTCCTTCTAGGATTGCGTCATCGTAATTCGTGCTGTATGCGTTAAATGAACGGAAATCGTACGAGTGTATCATTACCTTGTTTTCCTACAAATGTATTTCATCTCAAACAGAATATAGTAATTAACAAGTTCGGTTAGAATTACATTTATCATTCCCTTTGTAGAGATCCAAGATAGCAATTTTGGGATGTAAGAAAATTGCCTATTTTCTCTTTCGTCTTGTAAATAAATATTATTTGGGGTCGCTCAATATTTGTTGTAACGCCAATTTACAACGTTCCCCGATATTTTTCTCTTATATAAAGTTAAATGGCAAGAGGTACGGTGTGTTAATAGTTCTCGAGAGTTTTAAATGGTTCTGGAGCGTTCTAAATGGTTCTGGAACGGTTACATGGTTCTAGACAGTTCTAGATGGTTCTGGAACGTTTTAAATGATTCAGGAGCGTTCTAAATGGTACTGCAACTAGGTTCTGGCACGTTCTAAATAGTATTTTTCGGATCAGACATTGTTTTTTTTTATAAAAGTGTCTATGAAGAGTTCCGAGTTCTGAATTGCCCACTGCAATGACTTTATTTATGTTGAGTTGTCTTTCCAAAAAAAAAACGAAGTTTCTAAGTATCGGCAGGAAATATTACAAAACAATATTGATGTAAGATTTAACCGCAATTGGTTAAAGGGACAATTAAAATACCATTAAAATCGGCGTGTTGTTTTAAATAGTGGTCGAGTTCTTCGAGTTGTACAGTCGGCGATAAGAATAGGAAACCAGCAACATTTAATATATTTGTATTGAATTGCAATCGCCTGTCGGGTCAATAGAAAACAATACAATCGGACATAGATAGATAACCTTCTTGTGACACTTCATTCTTCATTCATTATGGATCGTTTCCAGGAATTTTATCAGTTGTAAGCTAGATTTTATCGCCTGTGGTACTTAATTTTTATTGAAATTTAATGCTGGAAACTGTATCATTTCACGCACTTGTTATAAAAATATCACTCCTATAATCGTTCGATACTCTCTATAAATTAGACTGTTCAATGAACTCTACAATTAGACAATGTTAGCTAAACTATAAATTATTATTAAATGTTTATGCTTTACACTTATGTAATAGTTTTTGGAAACTCCTATCTCTAGTATTTAAGTATTCCTATCTTTAGTAATTCAATTTCATCTATATTTACAGAAGTTTTTTTTAAGATGTAGAAGTTTTCAAAGAAAGTATAATCACAATTATTTCATTATTATCAATACTGTACACATAATTATTAATCGGATGCGTAAAAAACCATTAATTTTAGCAATGAATCTGCTATTTAGCCGGAACATTCTAAAAGCTGAAATAATTTCTTTGAAATCGTTAAAATCATCATTTCGAAGGAACTCGATGATAGCAAGCAAAAAATGTAACAGCCAAACAATTTCTGTTGCGGTTTATACTCCGAATTCTAGAAGTCGTTTCTCGAAATTAATTATTAGAAAACGGATTTTGTTAAAGAACGTGTTGTATAATTCAATAAGGCAGGAAATTCCCATTGCTTCAAAGACGTGTGTAGCGAGAAACCCAAAGAGATGTTTTAACCATTTTTTTTGCCAAAACCAAAATTCCCCAAAAACAGTAAATTGCCTCCACTTGGCAACAATCGAGCTTTCTCAATTACTCAAACTAGACCAACGATAAATGTTTCATCCAATAAATTATGACGTTATTCGGCCCTCTCATTACTTATTACCTACATAATTTATCGCCCGACTATTTTTATACTTCACTGACCTATTTTACTTTCGATAAAACCGCATTAACCAAATGAAGTCATTCGATAAGCTTTGATTTCGATAGCAACAAGTAAACCCAATCGCTTGACCTACACCCTCACTGTATTATGATTAATATTTCAAAATGCCGGAAGATTCCGGGAACATGGCATGAAGCGAGCCAAACACGAAGGACTCGGCCTTCGTAAACTTCTTCGAAGGCCTTGACTTAGGTCGGAATTATTTAGCGAATTTCGTTATTCTAAAATCGTATATCGTGATTACCGCGAATCCATTTAACGCGTCCGTGGCATCTTGGAAACCTTTCGCTTCCAGAAATAAATTTAACAGGAATTTTATTTCACTAGGAGTGGTTGATGGTTCGCGTGTACCGCAGAAATTGTATACGTACGCCCGTAAAATAGAGTAATGGTTAATTTGCCTTGCTATTTACCATTTAACATGCGTTTCGGTATTTAAATACAGCGGTCGCCTGACTTATTGTTTGAACTTGTCGTTGATGGACGATAAGCGAATGGGAGGTTTATACAGGGTGTTGGAGGGATTCAGTTCCTTAGTAATATCATTGAGCGTTTCTAAGTAAGATAAGTTAATTGGGTTAAATAACATACAAGGTGTTTATTAATTGAGTGCCGATACTTTAGGATGTGAATATTTGGATGATTTTAAGAAGAAAAGTTTATATCAATATCCTAAACCTCTTAGTTAACAATTAATTAACACCCTGTATTTTAGACTCCCCTACATGCTCCTCGCTGTTTTGTGTCGGTTTTTATGCGGGACCCCCTGCATTTAGTAGTGCATATTTGGTTCATCATTGGTTTTCATTTTACTCTCTTCTGTTTAATCCGAAAATTCACATACTTTACATCAATTTATTTTTGTTTGTTTATTTGTTCATTTTCTTTGATTTCGAGATTAATATTCTGCACAGACTTGCTTTGTAAAGAGAATATTGAGAAAGCCAAATGAAAAACCGAATAGTTTGGCAAACTTATTTACTATTAACGAATTTATTAGAACCGTTGGAAAATTGCCATAGACTTCAACGTGATGTGCGGTTTGTTTTTGATATTTTAAATTAGCACTTCGACGTAATTTAAAGAGATGCTAAAACAAATATACTATAAGATAGAAAAACAGAATTTGTTCATTCATTTCCGAATCGGCGGATGTTTATCGCTTATGATATTTATTAAGGAGCACTTAAAGGTACTCGAAAACAAAAATATTGTGTTTTCGTAATCGTCTATTGATAATTAACAATTTCCCTATGCATTTCGATCAAGATTTTGATTCATCTTGATAATCATTTATCTGAATTTTAGAGCATTTTAATTGAAATGAGTTGAAAGAAAGTGCTGCAAACAATAGTTAAATATCTCAAAAACTATTCTAAGAAGTCTCAGTTATTCATAGCGGCTCGGTAGAATTTCAAATTGCTACAGTATCAGTATTAAAATGCATTTTAGATTATAAATGACTTGTTCAACGTTACTTTTGTTGAGATAAAGGTACAGGTAACTAACGTCGGAACTATCTGGGCGTTAATCGAAAAGTAAAATCGAGAGAACCAAAATACAAGAAGAACTGATACTGATACTGATACGAAAATCAGTTACAGTTACACCAAATATTTCACTCGTACGCGCGCAGACACGAAACGATGTGAAGTCGGTTATCGCGCAGACAATGAGGCATCAGCGCGTGCTGTTTCCTCGGAAATTCACATTCATTATTTTCTATACTTACCAGCGGTTAATTATTTAAAAATAAATTACGTATTGTGCTTGTACGACGTCGTCGGCTCGGAAACAGAAAGTCCACTTGGGCTCTGCTCTAGAAGAATACCGTACCTATCAAAATAGGCGAAACCGTTCGAACGGGCTTGAAATTTTCCGAATTCGGACGGAAAGTTCGGTTTAATTTGGGACCGGGATTGCTGTAATTAGTGCGTTGGTGAATTCGAATTAGATTTTTGTTCGTGAAGGTAAGGAATACTTAGAAGTTATTCTTAGAACATTTACCTAATAATAATAATAGCCAAACTACAAGTATTACAGGTGTATAAAAAATCGTGGGTATAAAAATAGAGTGCAAAATTCAGGGACACTTAGGTATTTAAAAAATTTCAATATATTAATTTTACACACCTATGTAAAAATCCAAATCTAATTAAACATAATCTGATAAATATTTTATGCCTGTACATAATTAGTGCAATATA